TCATTATCCAGTGTACCTAGTGAATAGTATTTTAAGAATCCAGTAACCCTTTAAACTATAATAGTACCAGCACATTCTTGTGGGAGACCCAGCCCCACATGTCACACTTCCTACACATGAAATTTTAAAATACACTTCCCTGTTACCAGAAGGCACTTACCACACTACTTTAGTGGTACTGAACCTGTTATTATTACAGATATTTTAACAATGAAATGTAAGAAATATGGCTGAATGCACTCACTAGTTAAAACTGGTTAGTATTTCAATTTGATATACTTCTACCTAGTAATACCGTGATATGCAAAACTGAATTTGTTTGGTAATATTGTTTGTATGTCAAAGCAATTATCTCCATTGAAATTATATGAAATGCCATTAATTAATCCGCTCCAGCCACCTAATTGCCACCCCATTTGTTTTGTTACATATTTTTAAAAAGAAAAATGTATTTATACATAACAAATGTTGTATAAAAACATAATAAAGGAGAATGTAAAGAAATACCCTGGTTTTATAAAGTGAATATTCCTTGAAAATCAGCCAACTTGAGCTTGCTGAAAATACTTGCAGAGGTGTAGGGTGGATTAGATAGATGGAGGAGCTTTACTTGGTTCACTTACTCTACACTGCTAATGCAAAAGCTTTAAATTCATTTAGTTGTTACACTCTTAATTTTACTTTATCCTTTAACTTAATGGAACTTAACTGAGCATTGCCTTTTTTGCCTTGCTTTACAAACTTTCACTGTTTAAAACAAAACTCAGTTTAATGAGGTTTGTTTTTTCCTCCCTTTCATAATGTTGCAGAAATGTGTTAAAATAGTGTCATTAAATAGCTGTGATTAATGATCAGTAGGAACTTTTTTGGGGTGTTTCTTTTCCATGAACTGTGAAACCATCAGATCGGGTTCCTTGTATCTCTAATTCTGCTCATAACTCAAAGCAAAACAAATAACTTAACTGCTTGTATTTCTAAAACCTTGTATGTCTGGGTACTCTAAAGTCCAGGTACCACTGAGTAGTCAATTGTTTTATTGACTTAACATAAATAATGTTATTAGTCATGGTAGGATACTTGATTTTGGTTGTATTTAATTTGCTAATTTGACCAATGAAGTGTTACCTAGATATTCAGGCATAGAACCTAGAAATATACAGAAATGATATAATCTTCTAGTTAGTAGAGGATTAAAGGGGGTGGGGGCTAAAAGGGCTGCAGTCAGGGGCCCCAAATTTACTGCTTAATAGTTTTAATTAAAGTTTTAATGTTTGCATCACAAGTCTAATTTTTTTTTCAAAATATTTAACACATGCACACACTGCACACACTTTAAGTATAAATACCAGATGTCATCACCTCCTCCGAGAAACTGTTTATATAAAGTCGACGCTCCCTAAAATAACAGTTCGGACCAGCGATAGCTTATGACAATAAAATTAGTTGTTTTTAGCGTTACAAAACACTAACAGCAGCCAAATTTAAATTAATTAATTAATGTCACACCTAGGTATAAGCTGGATTGGTTAATTGACCTAAAGTGACCGGAAAGTGGTGAATGAGGTTGAACTTCCCCCACCCCCCAACCCACCCCGAACTGATCTGTTAAGAACATTTGGGAAATCGCGTAATGATGTACCAAAGTACCATGCCGCCAGAATCATAGCTTTTGAAACGTAAAACTCTGTAAATATTGTTTTTGCGCCTAATTAAAAATTGGTGAAGACTAAACCTTTGCGCCTAGTTAAAAATTGGTTAAGACTAAACCTTTGAGCCTAGCTAAAAATTGGTGAAGACTAAACCTTTGAGCCTAGCTGAAAATTGGGGAGGACTAAACCTTTGCTGAAAATTGGGGAAGGCTAAACATTTGCGCCTAGCTGAAAATTGGCGAAGACTAAACCTTTGCGCCTAGCTGAAAATTGGCGAAGACTAAACCTTTGCGCCTAGTTAAAAATTGGTTAAGACTAAACCTTTGAGCCTAGCTAAAAATTGGTGAAGACTAAACCTTTGAGCCTAGCTGAAAATTGGGGAGGACTAAACCTTTGCTGAAAATTGGGGAAGGCTAAACCTTTGCGCCTAGCTGAAAATTGGCGAAGACTAAACCTTTGCTGAAAATTGTTGAAGACTAAACCTTTGCGCCTAGCTGAATATTGGGGAAGACTAAACCTTTGCGCCTAGCTGAAAATTGGCGAAGACTAAACCTTTGCGCCTAGCTGAAAATTGGGGAAGAATAAACCTTTGCGACTAGCTGAAAATTGGTGAAGACTAAACCTTTGCGCCTAGTTGAAAATTGGTGAAGACTAGACCTTTGCGCCTAGCTGAAAATTGGTGAAGACTAAACCTTTGCGCCTAGTTGAAAATTGGTGAAGACTAGACCTTTGCGCCTAGCTGAAAATTGGTGAAGACTAGACCTTTGCGCCTAGTTGAAAATTGGTGAAGACTAGACCTTTGCGCCTAGTTGAAAATTGGTGAAGACTAGACCTTTGCGCCTAGCTGAAAATTGGTGAAGACTAGACCTTTGCGCCTAGCTGAAAATTGGTGAAGACTATACCTTTGAGCCTAGCTGAAAATTGGTGAAGACTAGACCTTTGCGCCTAGCTGAAAATTGGTGAAGACTAAACCTTTGCGCCTAGTTAAAAATTGGCGAAGACTAAATATTGATGCCTAGTTGAAAAATAAACTACGACACGTAATCAAACTAGTCGCTGATCGGAGGACACGTAATCAAACTAGTCGCTGATCGGAGGACACGTAATCAAACTAGTCGCTGATCGGAGGACACGTAATCAAACTAATCGCTGATCGGAGGACACGTAATCAAACTAGTCGCTGATCGGAGGACACGTAATCAAACTAGTCGCTGATCGGAGGACACGTAATCAAACTAGTCGCTGATCGGAGGACACGTAATCAAACTAGTCGCTGGTCGGAGGACACGTAATCAAACTAGTCGCTGGAAGAAGAAGAAACGCAAACCCCACGACATGCAAGACAGAAGTAATATTCGCACTCAGGGCGCGGGCCTCGAAGGAGACACTAGAATTAATTTCTAAATTGAAAATGTGTTATTTCTTGTAAATCCCTCTACGTAAATAACCACTACATTGAAAACAAAATTCATAAAAAACGTTTTAATAACAAGCTTTTATGTAATAATGCACTAACAAGTAAAAATAAATGATTTTCTTTAAATATATAATAATAACCAACTATTTAAAAAACTATAAAGAAAAGCGTGGGTCACTTTACTATCTGTTGGATACCTTTACTAATATTAAGGAAGAGACCCACGCTTTTTAAAATAGTTATTTAAATAGTAGTGTATTGTTATATATTTAAAGAAAATCATTTATTTTTTACTTTTTAGTGCATTATTACATAAAAGCTTCTTGTTAAAACGTTTTTTTAAATGAAAAAATATTCCCGTACTTTAATTTTTTACTTTCTCCTATACGAAGTATAGAGTAGGCCTATAGAGAAAGTATTGTAATCGTGCACAAAAATCACATGCAATTTTGACAGCTTTTCACCGCTTTACACCTCAGTCCTTCATCACATCAGGAGTATAGAGGACTTATTTGAATCGGGCATAAATTATAAATCCAGATGTATCAAAATTTTGACGTTTTATGCATAATCCAGTCGGAAAAAGTGGACCTTGCAATTCTGTCCGTATGTCTCTGTGTGTGTTTATGTGTGTGTGTAAACACGATAAATTGAGTTACAGCTAGGTTGATGAAATTTCATATATACGTATTATATCAAATTTGTAGTCCGATAACCGGAAGTGGAACTTATCCTTCAATTTTTCAAAAGCCTATAAATTGAGTACTGTTTGGGATAGATAAATGAAATTTCGCATCTAAGTAAAATTTTGAGTAATTTCCGTTGACCGGAAATAGTAATTTACGCTATTTCCGATTTCTCAAAAACGCATGTAAATTTCTAAAGTACTAATAATATTCCGCACTGTTATACACATTTCGTTTGGCGTTCACGTGGTGCGCAATTCTTTTTTTCTACGCGATTCTATTCTATTTTAAAAGTTTAAGTAATTAACAATGGATTAACAATAATGTCTATATCCCGAGTTGCCATCCCCCGTAGCGTTATATAAGAATATTCTTCTTTATGTTGATCAGGGTCGGTAATTGTACTAGTCGTGTGTAACGTTACAAAGGAGGGAGAGGTAAAAAATCGCAAAATAAAAAAAAATAAAAAAACGTGACGTCGTTTGCGATATGGATGACCACAGTGTAAATATGAATACCGTGACTTATTTAAACGTTGAACTGGCTTTAAAAAAAAAACATGAGCTATGAGATCTACCGTCTAATTTTTTTTCTTTTAGTTAAAAAAAAAAGATTTATTTTTTGTTGAGAATACGTGTTTAATTTTTTTTTTTTTTTAAATAGGCCCTCTTTGATGTAAGCGTCCAATTGGACCCCCCCCCCCCCCCCCCAGTCCCCCACTCGCCCATACGCGTCCACGAAAATCGATTTTTGTTTGGACCCCTCCATCTGGACGTCATAAATTGGATGATAACTTTTGAATACGGTTTTTTTTTCGTACATATTAAATTTAGTTAGGCCTAAACTTTAGAATTATGCGCAGCATTTGATTTTGAATTACAATATATTTTAGACTGCTACAAACTGTGATAATCTAGCCACGTCCCAAGGAAAATTCATTCATATTGCCTGTTTGTTTATGTCAGTATTTGTTTGTAAATTACTGAACTAGATTCTAGATACATTAGAATTTGGGTTAACAAAATGCACAATAGTACTTTTTTAATGAAGTAAAATAATAAATTAGGTAATTCAAATAGGTATTGTTTGATGGCCTTACGTTTATTTGAGACCATTTTTATTTTCACTCATCTTTTCAAGCGATTAAAAATATTCTAATAATTTTTGAATAATTAGCCTATTGGCCTAAAATTTGCCAATTTCCAATAAAAGTAAAGGTTTTTGTTACCTGGTCAATGGGTATTCACCGTATTGTAAAAATAGTAAATAAGTTATGGCCTTAGTTGGCCAAGTATTGGTTAACAACGAAAACCATGTATGTTAATTGTTATCATCTATCGTTTTGCGCTGTATCAGTATGACTATGAGACATGAGACTATGAGTTCAGTATGATAAAGTCTAGATCTATTAGTTAGATCTACATCACATCTAGTTCTAGATCTAGATCTAGATAATCTAGATCCAATCAATTCTAATCTAGAGTAAAGTGGCGTCTGCGGACAGTTGCCTCTGTCCGGCTCTGTGCGGACACCTTGCTGTTTTTCGCTTAAAACAATAATTGTATGAATGTTTTATAGGAAACTAACGCAAACAACACAAAGCATGTCCATTTTTAAACACATCTGAGTCCATTTCTTCTATTTCACTCAATAGGGAGATTAATTGGAATTTTTCAAAGTTGCGATGTATGACGTTTTATGGTAGGAAACCTCATCCGGATGAAGAGCACTAGTCCCCGGATTAGAGGAATAAATCGAACCAATCATAGCTTAGTTAACTGGGTTAACTATAAATAGCTTATATATATATATATAGAAAGCTATAAATATCATAGTTAAGGTTGTTTAAGCCATCTTAGAGGAAAAATTGGGATGTCCGCATATTTTTTGAGGGTTAACCTTTTGCGGACACTAATGAAAAATCAGAGTATATTTCTTACACTTTAAGTAAAAAGGAGCTTTAAACTAATCTTGATACTCCAGATTTATATTTAAATTAAGTCTAAATCTAGATCTATTAGTTTTTAGTGATGTTTTTAGGTTTTAAAAATATTTTTGATCATCAAACGTGTCTACTAAGCAAAAAGTGAAATAAAATCTCAACTGGGTCCTGAGTTTCTTTCAGGCATCACTTTAATTTAATTAAAACTTATTTCATATTTCTTCATATTTTTTGTTTTCCAATATATTAATATATAAAACAATCAACAACACTATTTATGTATGTAACATGTTTATTTCAATCATTTAAATAGAAACAAAATGAACAAAATATGCCTTGTCCGCATAAGGAGCAAGTGTCCGCACAGAAAATAAAATGTAAAAAAAAGTGCACTTACTGTCCGCACAGAGTCTCACCACTGAAAATGTTAATACATTCAATGCTATGCGTATGAATACAAAATGAATCAGACGTGATTAAACTAGAAAGGATGCGGAGTGAGACGGTACTTTCGGTTTGTTTCTATGTGAAGCGGTTACTGAATGGCGCTCAATGGAAATCGGCACTTCCGATTTTTTTGCTACGACTGTCCGCAGACGCCACTTTACTCTAGAATCTAGATCTCCATTCACTATTCAGATTCAGTATTATAATTATAGTTTTAGTATTATTAAGTATTATATTAATATATCAGATTATATTTATATCTTGATCTAGTAGTAGCCTACTTGTGGCCAATGTGGGTGCCTTTGCTGAGTTATCAGGAATATCAGGCTTAGACAATACTATAATTAACTAGGCCTATATAGTATGGAGGCATCTATTCGGACCCGGGGTCCAATAGCCACGGCCGCTATCGGGACCTGGGTCCTAATAGCCTCGGCCGCTATTGGGACCAGCCAATAGAATTGTTAAGATTTAGTTATACAAAAGTTCTTTTAAGATGCAGAATATATCTTTTCTGTTGTGATTTTTTGTCCTGGTAATTCTAAATGATTTATTCATTATATTGAGATCTTGCTTTAAATACCCGATATCATTACTGACAAATGTTATGATGAGCGGGTGTCATTAGGTCTAAAATATAATTATGGCCTATGGTATGAACTTCTATGGCAGAGCAAATTTTGAGCGCGCATGTTAAAATGTGTTTCATTTATTTTTGTCTTCTGTTAAACGTAATTTGATTTCATAGGTCTATCCGTCCATATATATATATATATATATATATATATATATAAAATTGTATTAAAAAAATGCTTTATAGGCTGCAGACAGCTCCCGGGCCGGTTTTCTTGACCACGAATATCTTGCATGCTTTGTAGTACGCTTTAATAGCGTACACAGTGTCTGTATTTTTCTTGCGCTGACTAGAAAACGCGAGCGGGCGATCAATGAAGCAACGATGTTTTTATAATTGGTGTGTTTAAAAACCTAAATCTAGAAAGAAAAAAATTTATAGGCCTAGTCAAATCTATTTTTAAAAAAATAATTTAAAAAAGACACTTTTGCAAAAAATGCAATGGAATGTTAAACTTAGATAAATACACTTTACTTCACGCAAAAATGAGAGCTTTGATAGGTTCCGATCCCGTAACTGATCAAGAATAGGGAGGTACTGCGTTCTCCACTCCACCACGACGGCTTACAATGATTACTAAATATGTAATGATTTTGTATATAGAGCTAAATATAGGGTTATTTAGAAATAGCAACACAAGAACTAACGCTAGCTAATCCGCATAAATAATTACAATAAAAGACAATAAAATACGAGCAAATCCACAAGAAAAATCAAATAAACATAAAAGGTATAATTTTAATACAGGTTGTACAAGTGCTTAACGAACTTAATGCCGTGTCCCAATAGCGACCGAGGCTATTTGGACCCAGGTCCCAATAGCCACATCCATATAGTATATAGATCTAGTATATAAGGACGATATTTTGGGTTTGATCACAGATTCCTTCATCCATTTATTTATTTATGTCCACAAAAAGTATGGAGAGCCTCTTATAGAGATGTCCACAAAAACATGCTAGTTCTCTTCAAGTATACATTCACAACTCTCTGTTTCTCTTCTTTACTTTTCACTTACTACAGAGGTATTAATTTTTATAAATAAAGATACAAGGATTTACTTAGGCCTAAAATGTAATTTGTAAACATTGCTTTTTAAATGTATTACAAATTATGTGTGTAAAAGCCTAGAAGTATATTGAAGTTAAATCAAGCATGTGAATTTCACATGGGCCTGTACCCCAAACTCCTTTAGTCCATATTTATCCACTATATATGTGATGTAGCGTGATACAAATTATTTTCTATTTATGTAAAGTATGAAAATATGTATATTTTATTTTAGATTATTGTATCTTATCCAGTGACATTTTGAAAGTGTGTAATAATGGGACAAACAACGAGTGGCCAGAATTTTGCTGCTAGCATGGTATCTCAGGGGCACCCTGCTGGGCAAAAACCAGATGATGGCGTTACATGGTGGTGCAAAATCTTAGCAACAACATGCTGCATTGTTGCAGGACTGAGTGAGCTCATTTTTATAGTGATAATTAGAAAACTCAATAATATACATTGATCATGAAGCTAATGAAATATTTTAATCCACACTATAAAAAACAACTATTTTTAAAAATAAAAATACTGACATCAAAGTTTACATTATTTAATTGTAATTTCTACAGATAACTTTCTTACTTAAATAATCTTAAGAAGAAAAATAGTAGTTTCTCTTCACTAAAAATGTTAACATGAAAATTCATATTTTGTTTTAGCTGCAATGTTAACAGGGCTGTTCCGCCTACTAACTTTTACACCATTGTGCCTTGTTGCTGGCATTTTACTCATGTAAGTTTATTTTATTTGTTAGTTAACAAATATGTCATGTTTTTTTTGTTTTTAATTAAAAGCTTGTGTATACATGAAATATTTAATCAAGACTCTATACTTTATTCTTTCATTACAGTTACAGGCCTAAGGGGTTATCAATTTTTAAATGATGTCCACATAGGTGTTAGGGGGAGGCAGTGTTTCTGCTTCTTTTGGGCATCTCTCTTTCTGCAGTCCTCCCCCCCCCCCCTCCCCTTATAATTGTAAAAAAATGCATAAAGCAGTATTATAGATATTTTTGAAAAAATTACATTTACTAATTAAATGTTTAAGTATTTAACTCTGATTTATAATTTAAAACTTGATCAACTCCCTACTATAGAAAAATAGTTTAAAATACAAAATTAACATAATTTAATTTACCAACATCTAGTTCCAAGTTGGGTGTCTGTTATTTTACTTTGCAAACCTGGCCTTGTGGTTTGTAAGAGTTTACTTTAAAGGCATACAATTGGGCTCTCCTTATTGTTTCTGATATGACATGAATTTCTAACATGTCCCCCTCTCCCACCTCACATAGTGATGCCACTGTCTAATCTAGGGTATTCTTTATTATTGCTCTTTTGCCGTAGGTTGTTAGGTTTTGGAGTCATCTTACTAGAAGCTCCTTGCTGCTGTCAGTTTCTTGATTTTATTCAGCCCATTAGTCGCTTCAGTGAAAGAAGGTCATACTGGCAAAAGGCATTTGCATATGCTCTGTAAGTATATCATTTTTTTTAAAATTTGGTCTATAAGGGTATACATCAATTAAAGATTTTTTAAATAGTGCTCATTATGTCAATTTTTATTTAAAAACAAATTCTCCTTATTATATTTATTTACATTTTAACAATTTCTCTTTACTTAAATTTCTATTTTAAAAAATCTATTTTGTAAAAAAATTTCTCATTGTAATTGTATGAATGTTAGATTTTTTAGGAACTTAAAATGCAGTTGAAATAAAAAAGGTATTAATTAAACATAAATTTTGTTTTTCAGGCCTGCTTTCATTCCTCCCATATTATGTTTCTCTGTAACTACAATGTGTGGCAGTGCCCTTTTGATTGCTTCTGGAGTTGTATATGGGCTGATTGCTTTAGGAAAGAAGTAAGTAAATAACTCCAAGAAATATCTGCCTTTTTTTTTGGTGCTGACAAAATGTTTAGTCATTGTGTTTTAATTATTTTAATTGTCATTAAATATAGATAATTTAGGGATGTGACTTTTCTAATTATACGCTGATTTCCAAATTTTTCCAAAATTCAAAACTGTTTAAAAAATTGTAATTGTTACCTTACTATAACTATAAAAGTACATCTCCCTAATGCCTTTCTAAAAGTATAAATGACAATGTGACTTGGCTACTAATTACTATCAAAATGTTTTTGTTGCTCAAATGTATTTTTTTCAAGTATTATTCCCAAAACACCATTTACTTAAAATAAATAGTAGGTCCTATCATTCTAATTTTATTTTTTTTGGTTTTTGGTATTTTCCATCACCTTAACTAAAACTAAAAGGTTAAAATTACAACTGGAACTGGATAAAACTTACTGAGTCTGGTCCGAAAAAAATCTAATATTTTTTACGGTTTGGTCACATCCCTGATAATAACAGGTGTAACTGTAACAAAAGTTTTTTCCCCCTCTATAATAATAACTTTTATGATTTCCTGATTTAATATTCCTTGTGCATTTGAATAAAAAAAATCACTTGTTGTCACATTAGCAAAATAGTAAACAAATATCCTAAGCTTCTTCAGTACTATATATTTAGTAATCATGTGCTTCATTTGTTATTTACTTCGGGGTGTGAGTCTATGCCCAATACTCATGCAACCTCCCCCCCCCCCATTCACTTTATGTAACAATTATCTGCTCATATCTTTACATTAAAATTATTTGAATTCTTATATTGATATATTCATGTTTAAATTCTATTTGCTTTAGGGCTGATAGAGATATTATGCTGTCGAGGGCAAGGGGCGATGATGTGGAGATGAAAGAGACTTTAATAACCAACGAGGTGACGCCAGTTCCGGCTAATCCATAACATGATCAAATTACTGCGTTAAGTTTACTGTGATTTAATGAAAGAATAGATTCAAAGTGGCACAGGCATCTATTATCATTGCTTCAGATCTGCGCTTTTATCTGCAAGTTTGCTCATGTTCATATATCTAAAACTCCTGTGTTCTCATTTTGGAAGTGGTAAATTTAACATTAAAATTGTATTTTTTGTTGTTGGAAAATATGATGGAATCGGTTCATTCTGAAGTAAATGAAGTCTTTATACTACATTCCAAAATGTAAACAGAGTAATTGTCACAGAGAGTAATCACAGATAAAGCATTTATCACATAGAATATGTAAATTAAAGATCATCTATATCATTTTTTGGCTTTGCTGCTAAATGAAAGTGCATGCTAAAAAATTTTTCATATTTTAAATGAATTGAGTGTTTTAAAATGTCAGTGATTTTAATTTATTATGTCCGAGCTAAAGTTTTGTGTATAATTTAATGTTATGAAACAATATCTGACAACTTCTGTAACTATTCTGCTCCTTTCTGATACTGTGATAGTCAGCTTACACCTCAGACATGGCATATTAATGTTTCTTTTAATTTAAAGTTAAACATTAGAATCTTATTTTTCATTTTATTCATATTATATCATATTCATTATTTATTTTTTGGGGAAAAAATGTTGGTTAGATTTTAAATAAGATGGCAAGTTTTTAAGACCTTTTAATAAAGAGCACTTTTAGAAAAAATGCTAATGACATTTTCATTCAAGTTCAAGTAAATCAGTTTTACAATAATTAATTAACTGGTTCTAGGTAGTTAAACTTTTTTTTTTCATTATGTCATTATTTGATGACAAACAGCCTAAACAACTCTGTGATTATTGTTGTACTTTTTGATATTCAATTCAGATCATACTATGATCTATTTTCAATGATTTCATGATTGTTTTTAAATGTTTTTACTTGTATTTTTTAACTATTCATTTTTAGGCAATCTGGCAATTTAATAGCTCATGACTTTTTTTTTCAAAACAAGTGCATAGGTTATTTATTTAGTTTTGAAAAATATTTTACTTGTAATTAAACAAATTTACAAAACAAAAAATGTAGAATAAGTAAAGTAAGAAAATTCTAAATAATTAAATTAAATTATGTGAATTAACTTTTAATTAAGGTATTAATGCACAAAATTCATTTTTGAAAATATATGATGGTCTCCACTTTTTGTGGTGCTATTTGTGTGACTTTTTGTGTATTAATTATTACATTACCTATTATATTTTTAAGTGGTCTGAGAATGAACTAGCATTGTTGTAAGTGTGATTACTTCTTTTGAGTAACTATTAAATGTCTTGGTGCATTTAAAAAAAAAAGATACTACTACAATTTTTTATAATTAGCAATTCTAACAGTTGTAAATTTCCTCACTAATTCTATTTATAAGAGTAGCAAAACCAGTCTGATGACATGCACGAAAAACAGCTAACAATATAAAACTGAAAAAATTATTGTTTCCCTTTCCACCTTGTTCTTTGTTTTTCTTTCCCCTTAGAGACACAAGAAAGAACAATTATAATATAGAAGAAATGTAATTTAAAAAGGAAAAAAAAATTAGATTTAAATGCTAAGTTAGAAATCAAAGTGTAGAAGTATCCCTGGATCTATTTTCTAATTATTAACTGGTATAAGATTAAAAAATAATATATGATAATTGAATCCAACTGCTTTTTTTTTTGTTAGATTGTGAACACTTTTACAAATTTGTATATTTTGTAAAAGTATTTTACTTTCTTCAGCTAAATTTGTTGTTTGTTTAACCAGCTCCCCATTTATTTTATATATCAACATTATAAAAATTGGTTGATTGTATCAATTTATTGTCCTTAATAGGATAATCCGTATTTACACAATTGACTTGCTATTTAGTTTTTTGCATGGTTTCTGCTTGCAACAGTTTGTCAATATTCAGATGCATGTTATTGTGGGAAATAATAATAAATGGAAAATACACAGACTACAATATTTTATAAATTTGGGTTTTTGAATATCAAGGGTTTTCTATATAGAAAATGACTTTCAAATCACAAAGGTTTTTGTTTTGTAGTTGTAGTTATTAACATCATTTAAACTTATCTTTGTGTGCTTTCTGTTCTGTTAAAATTTTTTTTTTATAAAATACCTTTTAAGACCTGATACTAAGTTACTGTGTTAGTACTAAACTAACAAGTTAATTTGTCAATAACTATTTAACTAGTTTAGAAAAAGCATCTAACTGTAAATTGTTAGTTTTCAAAAGGCTTTATGGATAGGTTAAGCTTATTTGTGAACTGAAAATAAAGAATACAAATTTTTGTAGACCAACAAGCTACTGTACTAAGTACTATATATATGTTTAGGTAAAACTGGCAAAATAGTTTAAGACTTCATTTTTAATGCATAGTTCATCAAAATGTTCTAATTATACTGGACCATACTTTAGTATAGTCCGTAATATTAGATAACATCAAAGCTAACTATCAGACTATATGCTTTAAATTTAATTTATAACTTAATCATTATAAAGCTCTTCATTTTTGGGAAATGCTGTTTTCCCACAAAATCCACATATTACATTTTTAAAAACAAAAAAAAATTGTGTTTTGATGTGTATTTTTTTCTGTGTTTAAGGTACAAAAGTGGCTGTTTTTTTTCACTTCGCCATAACTTACAGCTTCATAACTATCAAGTATCATGCGATTTTAAAATTGCTATGTTTATCATCCATTTAAACTGTTTAACAATATCACTTATTAAGTTACTTTGTATATTGAAACATTTTGTCTCATAAATTGTTATATTTTATCATGAGGACTTAGTATCTTAATGAAACTGCATTTTTGCACAAATGGTTTTTTAAAATTATTGGTGAATTTTTATTAACAAATTATGATTATTAATATAATATTAAATAAATTGATAAAAGCTTCTGAATTAATGAAGGTTGACAAACATTTTCGTCTAAACAAAACAATTATTATTCATTTCTTGTCACAAATAAGCCTGTAAATCTTGTCACAACATTCCCTGTATTTCTAAAGAAAGTTTATTTTATAGGTCATACAAAATCAGAACACTAAGTCTGTGCTGTCATTTATTTTTTAATGTTTTATGACAAGTCAGTTCTAAATCATTTCTTTTACAATATTCTAAATATTCATTATGCTTTTTACTAACATGCATGAATTTAATCTCATTAAATATTCAGCATTAGCCTTGGTTTTTAAGTTTGTATTGTACAGACAGGGGAAATTTTATTTTTTTATGATAGTCTTCACAGTGAAAGATGTTTTTAAAGTCATAAAATAATTTAGAATTACAAGTAGCAAATGAGTCACAATGACTTTTTTCCCCTACATGGTTTATTGATGTTATTGTGTTTGATATCTTGTGTACCAGAGGGAATGCTCAGTGCAATATAGTGAATAAAAAGTGAATTGCATAAGAATAACAAGTTTTTTATCCTTTTTATTTATTTTTGGTACTACAGTGTTTGTCTTTATTAATAATATGAAAACAAAATCAATTATATATCTACATAAGTAAGCTTTTACATAGGTCACAATATGTTTGCTTGAGGTCATATTTAGTTACACATTTTTATAGACCTCCACCATAGTGATTTCTTTTAGTTACAAGCATTGAATTTTAATTGCTATAAAAAAAATGTCAGTTTTGCTAATGCCTGGTGAGTTTGCCCCAAAACTTAATTTAAACCAAATTTTGGCATCATCACATTTCCAGTATTATTTTTGTTACTTTGGTTGCTAAAAATTTTCTTCTCATTAGCGACAATCGCTTTTTGTTTAAGACGTACTATTAATCAATTAAACGGTTTTGATTATGTTAGGAGAAAACAAAATAAAATCATCTAATGATAGATTGCTATATTTAATAACAGAAGGGGAGATAACTAACTACACGCGATCACCCTAACAGTCTGGTGAGCTGTGGTGAGAACGTTTATAAAGTTTGAAACTAAGGGGAGGTAACAAGATAAAGTAAGCTGTCTGTAAAATATGTCCTTATACGGCTGCTTTCACAGGGCAGATAATCGTCTTTCAGATATTACGAGCTACGGATGGTGTTTTAAATCAAAATATTTTTAAAAACTTTTATAGGGACAAGGTTTTAAATGCACTAAAAAACGAAAATGTATATACTTTAATAAAAGCTTTGCTCGCTTTTGAGCTCTTTAACATATTTTAGCCTCAAAAGCTTTTATTTTTAAAAAAGTAATTTAATTTTCTTATTTTCATTGCATTTAAAATCTTGTCGCCATAATGGTTATATATATATATTCTTATTTCAGTGCATATAAAACCTTGTTAATGCTCTTCAAACACATAACTTACCAAAAACAGCACTGGTGCATTGGCAGTTAATTTGAAAGCAGAAGAAGGGTCCAAAATACCACCCATACATCCTAGTTTTAATTAACAAGCATAAACGCCTTGTTGGCGCCAAAATATTTCTACCACTGGTACTATAGAGCGCTCACGCTATGAAGGAGCGGCCAATAACAAAAAGTTACCAGCAAGGCTACACGACTGTCGATAGTACGGGATGCAACTCAGACACCCGATAATTCAAGAGTGCAAGTACGATTGTATACATACAACAAGTATCTAAACCAGCCAAGTTGCAACGCCGATAAAAATATCATGTAAACAAGCTCGCACGATCAGCTGAAAGCATTAATAAGAACAGATCTGCACGCCAAATTGGGCAATGAGTGAACAAGGCTGCAAGTCACGTTGGCTACACAGGGACACCTAACGCGATAGAGCTCAAGTAAACAGTACTACCTAAGCTGACGGAGAATCGATAATTGTTTGCAAAAAAAACGGATCGGAGACTGATAAACATGGGTCACGCAACCGGACGATATGCTGGTCAATGTCTACCGGACTCGAGGACAGTAATCGATACATAATCCACTATCTTGACAAGGCCGTTGAAGACCTTGACAAGAAGTGATGGGCACAGCAGCTATTGTTTATGTAATTTGCACGGACGTCGCGGAAATACATCACCGAAAATCACTCGCGCTTTGTTCGAGTAAGTTAATAAAAGTTCACAAACATTCGATCACAGATTCGACATTTTACAAATTTTTTTAGGGTAAAGCGAATAAATAATATCCTCTAACTCTAATGATTTTTACAAGCTTTTATTTAACTCACTTCCTCGTCATTCTGTCTGTCGTCAGTCGTCAGTCTAGACGGAAACGCAGGAGTGAAAATTCGGACAGTTCTACTTGACCGATACGATTCACATTTGGCACGTGGGTCAAGACATGAAGACAATGCAATCTGAAACTAAATTTGACTTAATTGGATGCCTAATTGATTTTTTATGAATTAATTAAAATTTGGACCGAATTAGTAGGCATATCTAGCCAACCACACCACACGCGTCATCAATAGCTGCGCCATCACGACCACGTAATGGCTGCGTTCAAAAACCATTGCGCGCCTACTGAACGTGATATTCAGTAGGCGCGCAATGGTTTTTAGTCATGTAACTCTATTGTAGATAAAACATGTAAAGTACTGAAAAAAAAAATTCATAAAACACGTTTTAATAACAAGCTTTTATGTAACGATGCACTAAAAAGTAGAAAATAAATTATAGACTACTATTTAAATAACTATAAAGAAAAGCGTGGGTGTCTTCCTTAACATTAGTAAAGGTATCCAATAGATACTAAAGTGACCCACGCTTTTCTTTATAGTTATTTAAATAGTAGTCTATAATTTATTTTCTACTTTTTAGTGCATCGTTACATAAAAGCTTGTTATTAAAACGTTTTTTATGAATTTTTTTAACTATTGTGTTTCAAACAAAGATGAGTAAATACAAGCAGCGCTTATCTTTAATATACTGGGAGTGATCTCTCCAGGGGAGGAACTACAGTGCCGCCAGACCCCGCAATGCGGGGGGGGGGGGGGGGGGCAATTCCGACAAAAAAAACAATGAATTTTCTTTTCATAAATAATGTTTTTCGTGTCGTGCACCTTGATAGTGGTTTTGTAAAAAACAAACAGTGATTGTTCTATAGTAACTAATACACTCTTTTGCGTAGAAAAATATTATAAAATCTACATGAGCTGTAGTATGAAAGATAGGCAACGTTCAGACTACTTCCATGACTTACTGCCCTTCATTAAAACACGGGTGCCCATGAAGCTCATTTAAATAGTTTTGTACTATGTAAATTAAAAAGCAATTTATTCTATTAACTATTATCTAAATAAGGCATACTAAAGAATCCTAGAGCTATAAAAATGAATGTATTCAAAACTAATAATATAAATACAAAAAAATCACAAAAATAAACATAACGCGAGAAACCATTGCGCAAATCAAGCTTACGTGTTTATATAATTTTGGCCAGCTTGCCAATTTTTTTTAAAACAATTTTCGGTAAACATGAAAATGTTTAGGAAGAGAACCACGCTTTTCTTTATAGTTATTTAAATAGTAGTCTATAATTTATTTTCTACTTTTTAGTGAATTATTACATAAAAGCTTGTTATTAAAACGTTTTTATGAATTTTTTTTTCAGTACTTTACATGTTTTATTTACAATAGAGTTACATGACTAAAAACCATTGCGCGCCTACTGAGCGTGATGGCGCAGCTATTGAACGTGATGACGCGTGTGGTGTGGTTGGATAGACATGCCTACTAAATTCGGTCCAAATTTTAATTAATTCATAACAAATTAAGTAGGCATCCAATTAAGTCAAATTTAATTTCAGATTGCATTGTCTTCATGTCTTAACCCACGTGCCAACTGTGAATCGTATCGGTAAAGTAGAAGTGTCCGAATTTTCACTCCGGCGTTTCGATCTAGCTAGACTGACGACAGACAGAGGAAGTGAGTTAAATAAAAGCTTGTAAAAAAGGAATAAAATTGTTGAAATGTTAGATTTAAAGGCTAAGTTAGAAATCCAAATGTAGAAGTTTCCCAGGATGTATTGAGTTAAAGTAAATGGCAGACACAATTTTCTATTGTTAACTGGTATAAGATTAAAAAATAATATATGATAATTAAATCCACAGTGATTAGCGCCAACTGTTGTTTTCTTAGTTAGATTGTGAACTCTTTTACAAATTGGATATTTTAAAAAAGTATTTTACTTTCTTCAGCTAAATTTGTTTTTAGTTGCTTAACCAGTCCATTTATTTTATGTATCAACATAAAATACTGGTTGATTGTATAATTGTCCTTAATAGGATGATCCCTATTTACTCAATTGACTTGCTATTTGGATTTTTGCATCATTCAGTTGCATGTTATTGTGGGAAAAAATCATAAATTGAAATTACGCAGACTACAATATTTTATCAATTTGGGTTTTTGAATATCAAGGTTTTCTATATAGAAAATGACTTTTAAATCATAGGAAACAAAAAGGTTTTTGTTTTGTAGTTATTAATATAATTTAAACTCATCTTTGTGTGCTTTCTGTTCTAATGTTTTAAAAAAAATGTAATGAAAACCTTTTTGACTAGTTACTAAGTTAGTACTAGACTTACAAGTTAATTTGTCAATAAAGTAAATAACTGGTTTAGAACATCTCTAAATGTAAATTTAGTTTTTAAAAGGCTTTATGGACTGAAAATAAAGAATTAAAAAAATTTTCAGTTTAGACCAACAAGCTTCTGTACTAAGTACTATAAATGTTTAGGTAAAACAGTTAAAGACTTCATTTCTAATGTATAGTTCTTCAAAATGTTCTCATTATACTGGACCATACTTTAGTATAGATCTAACATTAGATATCAAAGCTAACTATCTGACTAGAATATGCTTTAAATTTAATTTTTCTAACTTAATCATTATAAAGCTCTTCATTTTTGGGAAATGCTGTTCTCCCACAAAATCAACACATTACATTTTTAAAAACATAAAACATTGTGTTTTGGTGTGTAATATTTTTTTCTGTGTTTACAGTACAAAAGTGGCTGTTTTTTTTCACTTTGCCATAACTTACAGCTTCATAACTATCAAGTATCATGTGATTTTAAAATTATCATCCATTTAAACTGTTCAAACAATATCACTTATTATTTTGTATATTGAAACATTTTGTCTCATAAATTTATATTTTATCATGAGGACTTAGATTTCTAGTATCTTAAATGAAACAGTGCATTTTTGCAAAAAAAATTTTAAAAATTTATTGGTGAATTTTTATTAACAAATTATGATTATTAAATAAATTGATAAAAGCTTCTGAATTAATAAAGGTTGACAAACATTTTCATCTAAACAAAACTATTATTATTCATTACTTTATTGATAATAAATTAAATAACAATTGGATCACCTATCGTAGCCATCTTTTAATTAATTTAATTCTCCACCCCAAGTGTCACCAATAAGACCCATTCAACATTTGCCATAATTTTAAAGAAAGTTTATCCTTATATATAGGTCATACAAAAATCAGAACACTAAGTGTGTGCTGTCATTTATTTTTTAATGTTTTATATTTATATGTTTAATGACAATTCAGTTCTAAACAATTTCTATTACAATATTCTAAATATTTATTATGCTTTTTACTAATTTGCATGAATTGAACCTCATTAAATATTAAGCATAAGCCTTGGTATTATTGTACACATGATGGAAATTTTATTTTTTTATGATAGTCTTCACAGTGAAGATGTTCTTAAAGTCATAAAATAATTTAGAATTACAAGTAGAAAATGAGTCACAATGATTTTTTCCCCCTACATGGTTTATTGATGTTATTGTGTTTGATATCTTGTGTACCAGAGGGATTACTCAGTGCTATATAGCGAATAAAAAGTAAATTGCATTATACATTTTTTATCATTTTTATTTACTTTTGGTACTACAGTGTTTGTCTTTAATAATAATAAGAAAACAAAATCAATCATTTATCCACATAAGTAAGCTTTTACATAGGTCACAATATATTTTGCTTGAGGTCATATTTAGTTACACATGTTTAATAGACCTCCACCATAGTGATTTCTTTTAGTTACAAGCACTGAATTTTAATTGCTACAAAAAAAAAATGTCAGTTTTGCTAATCCAAGGTGAGTTTGCTAAAACTTAATTTTTAAACAGAATTTTGGCTTCATCACATTTTAAGTCTCCAGTAAGGTCAAGGCTAATTCTTTGACTTGCTTGACCTGCTCGTCAGAACCATGGGTCTCCTCAAACCTGATAAACTTTTGAATTAAGAAACGTAATCTCTTAGTGTTGAGTTTTTGTTTAACGGCACGCTCCATTATTTGCCTAGCTCCGCTGATGTCTCCAACTTTTGACACCATATCGACATACACTGACCACAAGTCAGTCCTGTTAGGGTAGCTGGCTATCAAGTTTTCAAACATCGTACGCCCACACTCAGAATCTCCATCAGAAAATTCACAGTTGGCGAATTTCGTGATAACTTCAATATGATCCTTTTTATCTAAGACACAGGTTGCACGTTTCAGCAAGTTTCTTGCAAGCTGCAATTTTCCTGTTTTATACAGAAACTGGCCATACGATTTCCATATCGCTTTGTTGTGTTTAAACTTGTGACAGAGCATCTGATAAAGCTCATCGGCTTCCTGCATCTTATTATGAGAGATGTAAATGTCAGCCATCTTTAAATAAATGTCTACCGGGTTATTATAAATAGCAGCACGTTCCAGAAGCTTTTTCACATCACTAATATCTCCATACATTGTTTCCATGTTCAAATACGCCAGCCAAACATTCATTTTTTCTTGCTCTTCCCTGAATGTAATTGTATTTAAAGCCTTTTCTGCTACTGTCCTAGCTTTGTCAATTTCACCAAGTTCGATGTGAAAAGCCATAAATCGTAGCCAGATAAGTGAGCTGTTGGGCGACTGAAGAACAAGTTTTTCAAAATCATTAGCACTTTGTGGTGTTGCTGTTCTATCCAACTGACTTTGTTCAAACTCTTGGATTAGCTTTTCTTCATTATGCTTCTTTCTTTTGTTTGCTTTGGAATTATCAACTTGAATAGAATCATTATCATTTTCAATTTCTTTACTATCTTCAACTCCGGCTAATTCTCCTTCCCATGAAAATCCATTAATATTAAGCCTGTTTGCAGTATTCTCTTCAGACTGAATTGTCTCTTTAACCGTTTCAGAATTCTTGGGTACAATTTTCTTTTTAAGTGGCTCTTTCTGCAGAAAAATGTTTTTCTCTTCAGATTCTGAAACTTCTCGTTTTCTTTTCCTTACTTTTTTAACTGGCGCGTTGCTTTGGTCTACTAAAGACAGGACACACCTGTCTGAACCATCTTCCAAATTTTTAACCACACATGTAATATACTGCCCCACATAATGAAGAATGGTTGGTTTTTGGTACACTACACCTAGTCTGCCTGATGCTAATTTAACACAGAGACAAGAGCCAGGCTTGAGCTTTGTGATTTGAGCGATTACTTTCTCTCCTTGCACAACAGTTCTCTTTTTTCCGATTAGTGAAAGTGCTATCTTTTCATCTTGTATTTCAATTACTGTTGCGGTGTATCCTTGCCCAGGTAAAAAGTGACCGCTGGCATTGTTGATAACGTTGGTATCATCAGACAAATGAAAAAAATCAATGTAACCTTGTTGAGTTAAACTCAACTGTGCCCAGACTTTGTTCTTGGACACTTTGATAACAAACACAAAAACTTTGTCCCCTTCTTTCACATCCAGCTTAGAAATTAAATCAGTGTCCATTTCATTCAGGATTCTGCTCTCTTTCAGACTACATTCAAGTAGTGTTTTATTTGGCTTTGGGTCTGTGATGGGCAGATAACTGTGGGATTTAAGATCTCTCAGTCCAATTATTTTCACATTGAGTGTCTGTTCAGGATGAAATCGTAACAATGGGTTTTCTCCCTCTTTTAGTTCATCAGCCACTTCAGTGATGTGAATACGTCCCTGAAGTCTATTTGATATGATGTTAATTTGAAAGGAGTGTATGGCTTTAATTTTAGCTTCAATCAGCATCCCTGGTTTTAAATCATGACTTTGGGAACCTTTTTTCATGCTCTCTTGCTTTGGCATATCCTTAACTTTGAAAACCGCCAGCTGATTTTCACCAAAAGTGTCTTTAAGAACCACGTCAGAATAATTACCAATTTTAAGAGATTTGTTGACTTCGACATCATTCATGTGCTGCTTTACAGGAACGTAAACAAATTTTCCTGCGCCATGACCACGTAATCCCATAAGCAAAAACTCTGACTTTATTAAGAGGATCTCAGCCTTTAAAATCTGTCCCTTTTTCAGCTGAGTTTTGATATTTTCCTTTCTATTTGCTACACTTTTGACGACCTTTGGTTGCAGAGATAACTCAACGCATGGAGTAAGTGGATCAACAAACAGTACTGCTGCTTTGTATGTGCAGCCCACCTTGGGTTGAATTTCTCCAAAATGATACTTAGTAACTAAAGCTTTAGCACCAGACTTTAGATCACATAGAATCCCTTTCTTCAGGACTGAGGAAACAGTCACTTCTACTATTTCACCCACCTTCAGATTTTTATACACTGATAATTCCTTGTGTTCAGCATACAGTAGCGTTAGTGCACATTCTCTAGCTGAAAGATAACTTTTGAGTAGTTCCAATGATTCATCACTATTCCCTTCAAAACATTCGTTTATGTGGATGCTACCTAAAAATCGCTTTTTCTCAAAATCAATTTTGGAAAGTCTACAAATAACTGTTTGACCGGGAATAAACAATTCATTCAAGTTGACTGGCTGAAGGTAAGTTAATGTCTTTGCTGGAATTAAGCCAATATGTCCGTTAGCTAATTCTAAAAACATTCCATAGTCTTGATGATTTTTTATCACACCAGGTAAGAGCATGCCAGTCTTCAAGTCATCAAAATTTTCTACAAGCTGATTTTTTTCTGCCGCATTCATTAAAGATTCCTTCACTGTAACAATGGTTTTCTGATCATTACTGAAAATGGCGACTTTTTCAATCTTTTGGCCAAGAGTGAGTGAGTGTTTTCTCAGCTCTTGCACATCGCTGAAGTCTGACATATGAAAAAATGGGAGGTGTGCAATGTGCTTGCTGGGCAGTAGCATAACTTGTACACCAGCGTTTTCTATGTGCATTACCTTAGCCTCGGAGAACATGCCAATTTTGAAATCAGATGCTGCTTCAGTCAAACCTTTATCTTTAATTGTGGAATTCTGACCAAAATTAAATGACAGTTTCAGTTTTTTTTCTTCAACATTGTAGTGCACAACATGACAACGAATCACTTGACCCTTGTAAAACAATGAAGATGGATCAATTACTTTCTCAGTGCTCATGTAATTACGAGTTACATAACCCTTTACATTATTGTAAAAAGACACAATGACAACTTTTTCCTTCACAGACACAATAAAGCCTTCCAACTCCATTTTAGGTTGAAGCTGTGTGTATTCAGATAAAATCGAAAGCTTAGACTTCAATAAAGACTTTTTGTGGGTCAAAAATACTTTCGATTTCTCTTTGTCTATTCTTAAGACTCTGCATTTTAACTTCATGCCACTTTCAAACTTTTTGTCAGGATGCTTAATGGGTACATCAGCTAAATGAAGACAAGGAATAAATGAAAATATGCCTCTAGATAGCTTTACCAGAAGTCCATTAGAATTCACTTGTTTCACAACAGTCTCTACAATATCACCAACTTTTACATCATCTATTGTCATGAATTTTTGTTCAAGAATGTCCTTTTTTAGTGACACTAATGCCAACGCATCCATAAAACTAAATCCCAACACTCGACATTGAAATGATGCACCTTTTTGAAACTGCGTAAGATTTACATTCTCTTCTTTCTTATCATTCAAGTGACTTAGTGAAGCAAAACCACTGATACTTCCTGGTAGCTTGAAAAAAACACCTCTCTTGCTGTGAGTAAATGTTACTGTTGCTTTAACAATACTGCCAATTTTGAGGTCATTAAAAAAGTTTATTGGGCCACCATCAAATTTTAGTAGTTTTGGGAGTGCAGTGAAATGTATCACCTTGGTGTTATGGTTGATATACAAAATCCTTAGATCAATCTCTTTCCCAACCATATAATGAGAAGTTGTTTTAGGCAGTTGAGAGCTGTGCACTGTACCTGTGTATGTCCTGACAGTTACTTGAAGACCACTTGTCAGTACCTGTTGAATTATTCCCTTGATGCTCATTCCTGGTCTTAAGGAATTCAGATTAGTTGTTTCATCACACTTTGTGTTTTGAATTATTTTTGGATCAATAGTGACATTGACTACTCTTTCTTCTCCAGCTTTTAAATGAGCACCATCATTCATTTGAATTACACTCCACACACAGCAGCCAACACTTAATGGTGATCCATTGCAATACAGGGTAACAAATGCATCTGCATCTTTTTTAGCTAAAAAAGCCTGAATTCCTTTCACACCAAGATCTACCATATATCCATGATCTTCAACACTTGCTATGTTCCCAAATACAAGTTGTCCTTTACTTATTGTCTTAAGCGACAGCTCGCTGTTGACTTTTGAAGGATCACAAGAGACCTTAATTTGTTTTTTCTGATTTTCTTTACCAACTTCTAGAATAGTGACAGGCAACAAAAGTCCAGGCTTAAACAATTCTGCTAGTGATTTAACCTCCTCGGTAACAGCACTGTCATCAGAATTCGTAAGAATCTGCAACTGTTTTGAGTAAGCAGCAGATATGTCTGTAATAGGTAATGTTGCAACACCATTGCCAGGCAATGACAGTGATAATGAGTATTCATGCACCTGTCGAACACATGCCAGCACACAAACTCCCTCTCTTAGATCTTGCTGAAGTGGTATTTCAACCATGCTATCCTTAGGATTCAACTTGATTCTTTTGGCAGATTTCTGATTTGAAAGGTCATGAAGTTTTCTTTTCTTGGGTTTTGAAGCAAATTTTGTTTGGTGGACAACATTCTCCTGTCTAGAAATTGATTTACTATGTAGAGATTTTTCATGTTGTTTGCTAGAATTTGATTTACCACGGGGAAAGTCTTCTGCCATTTTAAATTCTAGATGTAGTCTAGGCCTGTAATCTACTTTCGATAGTGTACGAGTACGAGTCTACTAACACAGTACACAGCCACTCGCTCTTCTTACACGTGACTCGTTAGATGCAGGTTTCAGTCTTTTTCTACTGAATCTTGAATTCGAATAATTAAAAAAAGTGATATAGAGTCTAGATGTAATCTAGATCTAAGTAGATCTAGGCTTATCCGACATTGTTTATATGGATCTAGATCTAGATCTAGCAAACTTGCATTTGGTTTTCAAAAAATTGTTTACCAATCTGTTTACCAAAAAGTTGGAAACAACAGAGGAAATGAGAATTCAGGCGTGCTAGGTCTGAAGATAAATAATAACATTTTCTACTGCTAGTGCTACTCTGAATTTAAAAGTTTGCGCACTGGTCGGTCATTTCCGGTATAAATGAGGAAATTAATATTAAAAATGTGTTTTATTAATAATGATTCTTTACTATTTTTTATGCATCAATGAAGTACGAACTGTTGGCTAATAACAATTCTACGTAATTGACATCTCATAACCTATTTGACAAGTCAAGAAATCTTTTATAAATAAGGTATAACGAAAAAATATTTCGCCATCCACGCACCCACTTCTCGGCCGCCGCCGCCATGTCACCGCCCCTGACCTCAATTCTTAGGATCCTCCTTTTTAATTTTAACTAAAAAACTTTTATCACTGTAGCTAGCGTAACATGTTCTTTAATATTTGTAATTTATCGTCCCTTTATGAATAAGATTTTTCATAATTCATTAGGCCTACTAGATCTCTAATCTATGTCTAGTAACAGTAGTAACAAAAAGTAGTAATACTTGTGTTTACCAAAATCCTAGACTAGAGTGAGTCTAGAGACTCTAGTCTAGAAATAGTCTAGATCTATCTACTATCTACTAGGTACAGTTAGTTTTAGTAACACATCTGTACAATCTAGATTAACTATTTGAACCCTTAGCTCCTGCCTGTAAAAAAAAATAGTGATAAGCGCTAATCTATCATTTTAGGTGCGTAAAATCAGCCGAAGCTATTCAAGCTAGATCTAGTAATGTGCGAAAAAGTTGTCTCATTGTTATTAAGGCTTTAACTTAAAGTTTAATAGAAGTATATTGTGATATATATTATATGTGTGTCCAATATTATAGATAACTGAATAATAAACTAAAATCAATGGCTAAATATAGAAATTAGCTTTAAATTTAAACAGCAGTGTTTACTTTGTGAGCAGGATTGGATATATAAAAAGCTGCCATCTGTAAGTTAGAGTGGTTTCCCCTGAATCTCTAACTATAATTTTATTTTTAAAAAAAGATGGCTTCTAAAGTAAATGAGCTTGGTTGCATCTGATTGAAAACATCGCTAGTCTTTATTTTTTACTGAACAGTTTTAATGCAATTGTTTAAAAACAGGTACATTAATGAAACTTTGAAATATGTTTGTAACTTTCAAAACATCAATCCTACTAAAAATATGAAATAATTACTAAAATTTAATGAGTCACCTTTTTTTCACATTTCAGTCTCGGACGATTTTACATTTTTATGTACCTAAAATGATAGATTACCCGATAAGCAAATGCCTCAATAAGTTTGTTAGATCATCATAGTCTAACTTCATTAGGCAGCTGATTCTGGAAAATATCTCGGCATGGTTAATTCCACACAATCCAAATTTTAGCTTTTAAATTTGAGATTGTCAAAAAAATATTGTAGGCCAACACTACACATAGACTTATCTATTTAGTTTTTAATGTTAAGAATAATTTGCATGGTTAGAACATTAGTAGACTACAGTTTTATTGTTTTCTTTTTTAGCCTTTAACACAATATTTTTACAATGATTTATTTCAGAACTATACAATATGTCGCCAAAGATGGTTGTATTATCAAAAAGAAATATTATATTCCACTTTAATGGGCGTCAAAAGGTAAATTTAAATTAAATTTAGTCACCGTTGTGTTGTCTCATTTTACATCTTAATCCTCATATTTTGTTATTAAAATATTTTTAAAAATTTTGTCTTTTTTGTCTTTCAAACTGCTAAATAATAGTTTTTTTCAAAACCATGTCTACCCTATCTTGGTAGTTTAATTAATGAACATGTACGAAAAATGGCATAGCTTGTATTATAATAATTATATGAACATAAGCCAATTTAAATACTTACTTCAAGTTTTGTTAAACCTTTTTTCTTTTTATTTCTTTCAGAAACTTTTCACACAATGATTTTGTAACAAAAACTGTGATTGACTATTGGATGAGAGGATTAAATTCTCAATGGAAGCTTGTGCCCAACGAAAAAAAATGAACAAAAAGGATAGGGATGAATTTTCCAGAAATTGTGCTTTATTACAGTTTTTATTTGATTTTTGAGTATTAGTTTTTTAAACTTTTCTACTAATGCAGTTTTATAAAAATCTTCATAAGATTTTATATAAAGGAGATATATTTTATTCATGGATCATATTGCTTTGGTTTAATAGTATGTTGTTGTCAGTATAGAATATAACCTTTTCCTAAGCTTTTTAAATATTTTTTACCACTGTGTTTATAAACTAGACAAATTATTGTGAACTAAAAAGCTGTGTTGTAGAGGATGGATTATACAATGGACACCTTAAGTTTAGAAGGTGTTCGGCAATATGGTGAAAGGTATGAAGCTGCGGTAAATAGTGATACAACAATGGAGCTGGGTGAAAATTTTTCTCGTACTGTGCAGAGTAACGCGATGAATAAAATGGGGGCCGAGCCAGATTCTCAGAGGACTATTTTAAAACTGGATTTAAGCAAAAGTATTGGCAAGGACTTTCAAGCTTCTTCCTCAGTTTATGATGCACAACAAAGTTTATCTGCTGATCTTTTACCAGCGCAAAGTGAGGCTTCAATGCAGCGGGCTATGTATTTTAACAATGGAAGAGTATCATTACCGTCGCATGATGGTATTAGCGAACAACTTAGAGTTCCAGAGAAACAGACTTATTATTCAGATGGTAGGCTTATTCCAGAAAATTTAGCAATTGAAGAAGATGAAGCCGAGGATAGGTTAGCTTCATATTATGAAAATAATGGGAGATCGATAGAGAAAACTGAATTGGTAGATCAATCACAGAAAATTGTGCGAGGAATAGGTGGTCCTTTCGTTTCTGATTTTCTTCAAGAAATTACCCAAACTAAGGACATCAATTGTATGCAAGATATATCCAGAGTTACCTCTAGCAGTGTTAATCAAGGTCAAGAAGGGGAACAAAAGTTAAGTAATAATTCCGAACAGCCTGATCCATCACTTGGTGCTCAAGATCAGAATTCCAATTTTGCTCAAAATATGCATGAACCTGGGACAAAGTATGCTGAGAACTTCCCAAACAGTGTTTCCCAGTGTCAGGATAGTGCATTCAATGATTCCTCCGTCAAAAACAGTACTAACCTGCAGATGAAAAATAACACCGAGATCAGTTTTGAGAGTAGCTATGCAGATGTAATACCCGAGAACCTGTCTTCTTCACATGTGGATACAGACACTGACTGCAATGGACATTCCGAAAAGCCACCTTCACAAGCTGATGCCAGTGAAAGGTCTGGGGAATCAAACTCAGGTAACAAGGAAGCTGTGGTCCCAGTTGTCAAAAGGACTAAACGCAAAAGAGATAAAAGCTTGGTGCAGCAGCATCTACCTTATAAGAAGTCTAAATTTACTGAAGAAGATTCAGAAGAAGATGTTGAAGAAGGTTATGAGGATAAAGTTTATAAAGAGTTTGATGAAAGCACAGAGGATGAAAAAACTAATGACGTCAGTGGGGACCTAGACCATCATGAACTCGACAACAGCCGTGAGTTTGATGATGACGATGAAACACAGTCTTCAGATTCTGAGTTCTCTCTCTCTAAACGATACAACAAAAAGAAATTCAAATGCAAAATTTGCAATAAATCCTGGAAATTAAAAAAGGATTTAAATAACCATATGAAATCACACCCATCGGCAAAAAAATATGCCTGTTCGGTGTGCAACACTAGCTTTCAAACAAAAAGCACCCTCTCGCAACACATGTCGACTCACGTTGACTCCAAGCCCTACCCATGCCCTGAGTGTAATGTCATTTTTCAAAGTACGGCTGATCTTAAGGAGCATAAAAAAACACACATCGTCACCCGGGCCTTCAAATGCTCAGAATGTACGTACTCGGCTAAACGCAAAAAAGACCTAAGAAAACATATGCTTGTCCACTCTGCGACAAAAGACCACTACTGCCAGTATTGTAAGTTCTCCTCTAAACGGAAATACAGTTTACTCAGGCACATGAAAACAGCCCATTCGTCCGAAAAGCTGTACGAGTGCAGCATTTGCAGTTTCAAAACAAGTGCTGTTGACAGTTTTAAAGTTCACGTGGCTATGCATGCATCCACGAGGACGGTGGTTTGTATTATCTGCGGTACTGTGATCAGGAAGAGGCCCACCCTGATTGAGCACCTGCTTGGCCACACAGTGGACCCAGACCAGGCGTGTAAGGAATGTGATGAAGTTTGCTCCACCACCTACGAGTACATGCTACACCTTCTGTCCCACAAGGAAATAGATACCACGGTGTCTGAAGATTTGACCCAGTCTTCCATATTTGATTTAAGCGCTTCCGTTGCTAATGGAAGTGCAGAGTTATCTTACCTTGGTTCTGATTTCCTGGCTAGGCATAGTAAATTGATTATGGATACGCCGACAATGGAAGTGAAGATTGGTAAAATGTCAGATGTTGCTTCCCGATTGGCTGATATGACTAAGGTGATTTCACTGTTGAATGAAAAAAACAAAGTTGTTCTTCAGCTTGGAGAAATATCCACCTTGGCAACTGAACTGGCGGTTTTATCTGGCAATGTTTTGCAGTCGTACAAAAATATGTATAATATTTTTAGCGGGACAAAAACAAAGTCAGCCTCATCGTCATATGAAGCAGATGAGGATACTTCATTGATGGATGATGATTTTGGGAATTTGAGTGCTGTACTCAATATGACAGCATCAATTAAACAAGAATTGCAGGATGGTTTTCCAACATCTGAGAGTGAAGCTGGGATGCAGATTCAGGTTGATTTGAATGGAGAACCTGTTTCCTGTATCCAGAAAGAAGATTCCTACAGGAAGTCCAAGCTAGGGGACAAGAGCTTGAAATGCAACCGCTGTAACCTTATGTTCACGGATACGCGTAGCCTGAAGCGCCACCTGATGGCCCACGATGATGTTCGCCCGTACGCCTGTGAAAAATGTGGCCAATCTTTCCGAAGGAATGAACATTTGAAGAAACATATGGTAACTCACTCAGACGAGCGACCGTTCACCTGCAAAGATTGCCCTTATGCAGCTAAAACAGAACATCGGTTGAAGATTCATATGCTTTGCCATTCACAGACCAAAGCTTACTCCTGCCATCACTGCACATACACAGCAAGAACGAATTACGAGTTGAACCATCACATGAAGAGACACGAGCCAAGGAGCTGTTCCCAGTGTAACTTTGTTTGTTACTCCCGCCCTGAGCTTAAGAAACATGTCTTCACACATTCCTCCTTTGACTGCAGCGAGTGTGATTTTAAAACCAACGACCGAGCCGAGTACAGCAAACACAGTAAAAAACACTCCCTGGTGCAGCACCTGTGCTGCGAGCTCTGTGGGTATTCCTGCGACACCATGAAAAAATTCAAGTACCACAAGCTCCGGCATGAGAATAAAACACCATACCAGTGTCAAGACTGTGATTATAAATGCAGTTCCAGGGCCAGCTTTGACTGCCATCGTCTAAAACACGCTGGGCTGAAGCCATACCTTTGCTCCTTCTGTGGCGCCGCCTTCAGGAAAACGTCCCACCTGAACCAGCACCTGCTGATTCACAAAGACGAGAAAGCTTTCAAATGTAGTGAGTGTGGGTATGCCTGCAGGACCAAGCACAACCTGAAGGAGCATGAAATGACCCACTCAGGGGAGAAGCCTTTTGCCTGCAAGTACTGCAGCTTTTCTTGTCGTCGAAACAAAGCCTTACAACTGCACATGCTGAAGCATGAGAGCCACAGCATGGTACTTCCACAGATGCAATTGCCATTGTTGCAAATGACCATGCAGATGCCAATGAACCTTCCACTTATGTCACCTTTGTAAACTTACTTTTTTTTTTAAAGTTTTCTTTAAGATAAGTTTTTTCTAAAACACGGTTGGATGTACTGTTACTGGTACTAAAATTTAGACATTATATTTATTAAATAAATCTTTTTGGGGTGGGATAACAATATTTTTATTAACTCTCTTTTCCTATATATATTTATTTCAATTTTTTTTACTTTATCCATATATGTTTAAGCATAATATAAAGATGCATTTGAAACAAACAAAATTTTATATTCTATTTACTCGGACTAAATGTACTTTGTTATTAAAATTCTACTGAAATAGGTTTGCAGTAATTTGTCTTTACATATGAGAATACATACTTGTGCACAAAATAATGTTTAACTACAATACAGTTTCCTTTAGAATGTAAGTCAGAAGTTGTAGTTATTTTCATTATAATCTAACCCGCAGTTTTCTATACATATGTATTAAAAATATATAAAAAATGTACCAGGTACATGTACCCTGAATGTAAAATTTGCAAACCACTTTATTAGACAAGGTGGAAATTGTGGTCCTTATAAAATAACTATGTGAAGCTCTGAGTTTTGTTTTAAAAACTTTTTGTATGTGTCTGTACATAGTTTATGTGATGTTCTTCAAAATGCAGCTTGGTATGATTTTCTTCACTTGTTTTATTTTTGTCCTATTCACCAGTGATTGCAAATTCCCTTTTAAATTGTGATTGTATTTCCTTTCTCAAATTTGGAAAGGGAGAATATGGTATTAAAAATGTGAGGTTGTTTGCTCTTAGTAGCCCAGCAAAGATGGCGGTAATTTAAGTGGTATTCAATATACTATTCTTAAAGGGATTGTCCATAAATGACATACTTTTTAAAATACTCCCCCCCCCCCCCCCCCCCCAAAACCCCCTCTTCCTCCCTTTCATCACAAAGTCATCATGTAGGTATTTTGATAATCTTTGTTACGAATAACACTTAACTAATGATACCAGTAGATGCTTACATTAATGCTTTTGTTGTCAGACAACTTAGAAGTAAGCACTAATTACGCACTATAGTGTCAACTGTAGTAAAGCGGGTGTGAGGATTGTAATTTACAAGATTCGAGATATTTTAAATTATCTTAGCAAAAATGAAAGCTAGAATTTATTTTTGGGCATAGCATCAGTTTAACTACTATTTGACAGTAGAAAAGCTGGCTTTAGTTAAATCCTGTGACCAGCTTTTTTAGTTTTGAATAGACAATGTGTATATAAATAACTGAAATTTTAATTCATACACAATGTATACCTTCCTATAAATTTTAAATAGCATGCATTTAATCACAAAATTACCTTTATTACAAATATTTAATATAAAAACATAATTATTTTTTCTATAATATTTAGTCTATTATGCACCAGAAATTCTGTTGAAATGTATGATGTTAAAATTTGATTCTGCTACTGTCAGTGTATTTCAATCATTCTTTTGTGTTCTGAGCCATTGTCTTTTTGTGTAGCTCTACTTGCTGTTCTTGTTGAGTAGAGGAGTCTCAAACTGTGATAAAAGGTGACTTCTTTGATTCAAATTTGTTTATCAATATTTGACTTTGCTTTTGAGGAAATAGCTCATTTAATAGAGTTCAGACACTGCTTATGTAAAGCGATTTATATAGTTTTTAAATGGACAAGAAGAAAGGCTGTAAATAACTTAATATGGAATTTTTGCTTGAATACTCCCCTTTAAGTATTATTTGTTTCCTAAGATTAAGATACTACCCAATTAATGCAAAGGATTTCAGTTTTTTTATGATTTGTTAATACAACCTGTAAAAAGTTGTGTTAAAATACAAGTTAGCTTAAACTGCATTGCTTCTTAGTAGATTATAAGTAAAAAAAAATGGCTGTTCTGTTCCTATGTCCTTCAAACTGTGTATCAGTTTTCAACTGCTTAAAATTATTTAATTTATAACCTGATTACAAGAAATAATTAACACTTAAAATTAGTTGAGTAAATTTAATGTTAATTTTTAAAATTGTTCATGATTTAAATGTCTTCAAATGAACTTCATCATGTACTTTGTAGCTGGCTCTCTAATCTTTTTTCCAACTCTTTTCTTGTCAGGGTGATGGGTTTCTGCACTTTATTTATTCCACCTATTCCTGGTATAACCTCATCCTTCTCTTTTAATCAGACACAGCATAATGGGAACATGTTATAACAATCATCTGTTTATTGCTGATAGTCCTTATACTATTATTCACCAAAATGTTATTGTCCATAATAAAACAATGTAGTTCTCTTTTTTTTTGATCAATAAAATAAATGAGATTTTAAAAGTAATGGCTTGCTTTTTTTAACCCTGTGTTAACAGGTTTTTCTCAATAATGTCCACCATCATCTCCGTAAATAAATTTAAAAATAATTTTAGAAGTTTACACTTTAATTAAGAACCAAAGCAGCTAAGCCCTAACGTCCTAATACATTTGAGCAGAGTACATCTTAGCACAGTGTGGCCTAGTGTAAAGCCCAGCTCTAACGAGTACCTAACTCACGCTAGGGAACATAAAGGCAGCAGAGCACAGCACTGACAGGTGAACTCTACTTCACTTGCCCCATGGACCATCAGGTTCAAAAAGGAAGTTAACTTTTACATCTTAGCTGTGTTTGAAGACTGCCACAAAAATCAAAGCAAATATATCTTTGTGCTGAATAAGGAAAACAAATAATGTAAAATAAAAATAACCCACAGAAAATGATACTATTAATAAAGAAATATTTTATTTATCAGACAGAAAATAGTTTGAGCTGTATTTTTATGCCAATACAAAATATATAGGGATAGAAAAAAATTAGATAACCTAAGAATCTAAATAATATGAGCAGTAAACCAACTGATTAACAAATAGAAAAGTTGCCTATAATCATATACCACAAGTAAGGTAGATTTCTGGCAAATTTTCAAGATATAAAAAAAAATGTAATCTTGTTTTATAAAAACCCATAAAAATTTGAATAAGAGTTAAGAGTAAAAGAAATAAACTTGTGAAGCATGATGAATTAAGATATTAGATATTTAGGCTTGAATTGAAGTTTGAGACATGAAGCAGTGCATGAAATGAACTAGATGACAAGGCTAAATCATTTTCAGCTCACATTAGACTGATACATACTGTTTAGGCACAGTAAATTTTCACTGAAATTGTTTTCAATACTGGTAAAAATTACAAGCTAATTTCATATGCTTTTGGCCTTTTTCATCCGCAAAGATTAAGAGAAAAATAACAATAATTCATATGATGGCAAGAGTTGATCCAATGTTGTGTGTTTAAACTTATGACTAAAGAGTGAAAGACATGTTTAATGATTTGAAAAATAATAAATTTGATTTTTTATACTTATTCATAAGTAAACAAAGAAAGCAATTTTAACAGTATAATAATTTAAAATTTCAATCTTTTTCTAATTCAGTTTTAAATGCACAACAATGTATTTAAAAAATATTTTAAAAGAAACAAATCTATGGTAATACCATTGGTATGAGCTAATTTGCAACACTAGGATTGAGATTTTTACCTTTTACAAAAAAACAATTGTTGAACATTTAATATTAACGACTGGTCAAATTAAACACAAAATCATACACTAAATATAAGCCATTATCACTATACACACCACACACCAATAAAATTAAAGCCCTGAATTTGGATTTTAGAAATTCTTCAATAAAGAAATAACTGGTTTTTTAGTAGAATTATAGAAACACCATTAAGCTAATATACAAAGTTCACTTAAATTTTTAAGATAAAACTATATACATTTTTATCCTTTTTAGTAAGCCAAATAAACTTTTTAAATTACTAATAAAAATTTATTTATTTTTAAGACCAAGCTGTGGGCAAGTGAAACAGTACCATCACCATAATGTTTATTTAATCACATAAAAACAATAACAGGATTTAACAAGTCAGAAACAATTTTTAAAATAATTGAAGGCTTTGCACACAAAAAAAATACTTAAGAAAAAATTGATAATAATGTTTTTTTTACAATTTGTCTTTTTAAACAACCAGTTTAACTCACTAATACTTTTCTTTAATAAATTAAGAAAATAGTATTTAACATCTAATCTACCTTAAGCAGTAGAAAAAAAAAAGATTTAAACATGCCTGAAAAGTAACTAGTAAAAAATATTCAAATTTGGTACATTAAAAAAAATCTGAATTGAACAATAGTTACATTAAAAAAAGGTTGATCAAAGAATAGTTGATTAAAGGAGAAAGCAACAATCTTGTGGGGGAAAAAGGCACTGCAAAAAAAAAAAAAAAAAAAAAAAAAAAGATAATTAAAGACAATTCATTATAAAGGAATGGGGGTGCTAGCTTAAGTTGGTTTAGCTAGCTTTTGTTGTAACATAGATAATAATATACACCCCAAAGTTTAATTTAAAGCTGATTTGAATTGTTTCCTTATATTTATAATATAATTAAAGTATATTAGGAGCATATAAAAACATTACATGTCTACAAATGCAAAATATCTTGGTTAATACTAATAGTAATAGTGTGCCATGGCACAGGGTATACAGAGTATCATAAATTCTTACACAGCAAAGAGAATACAAAGTATCTTACACAGGGTAGTAATAATAATACAGAATTCAGAATGTGACTCTCATGTTATGTTAATAAGTCTAGATCTAGCTCAATGGGCATTTTACAGTAACATTGAATCCTGTACCAAAGTGTATGTTAACATTGTTAACTCAGTTTTTTTTTTTTAATTAAGTGCCATAATATTTCATACGAGCCGGCCCGCGGCATAACATACGCCGCTATTTAGTTGTTTCTAATTTTCAATAATTCATAATTTGTGAATTCGACAGTACCAACGCTGACACTGAAAATATTTCTTTAAAACACTATAAGTAGCTCGTTAAGGACCATAACCCCCCCCCCTTCCTCCCCCCCCTACGTTTAAAATCGTTGGCTCTGCTTGTAAACATTTAGAGTGAACACAGCTCACTAAAACCATGTAGGGGTGGGGAGGTAGGGAGAGCGTTTGCAGCTTGTTTTCTAACGGCTCGAAGAAGAGAATTATATATATAGATACCTGCACATATACCTGGCCTTAATTAAAAGTTTTTATTTCAGGCTTAAGGTCTTAAAATAAATGAATAAGATGTATATAGAAAAAAAAATTATGTTGTACATTGAAAACCCCATATTAATCACAGTTATTATAGACTTCAAATAATATTATGACTTGGTGACAAAAAATATTATATGACTACAGTTTTTATGAAGTAGTTGTCTAGATAGAAATTTCATTTAACATCAAAAGCTTAGAATTTTAGACTGCTGCCGTCCAGTTAAATGCAAATGATAACTCTACTATCACACAATGAAATTTTTTTTAAAAGTAAAATTTTTACATTGATTATGATTCCTTTAACAGTTAACTTAAATATTAAACTACACATTTTTACATAAATTATTTAGTTATGTAAAACAAATTCATAATTTTTACAAAAAATAATTTGTCCATGTATATATATATTGCAGTAAACTATTAAAAATAATATTTGAAACTATGAGTAAAATAAAAAATGAAGTTTCTTTGGCAAATATGTTAATGTACAATAAAAAACACAATTATGAAAATCACATATTTAAATGTAGAAGTTTAAAATAACACAGAGATATTCAATATAATGTAAAAATAAATTCTATCAACTTCCCCATTAAATAATCTATTGAAATAATAAATTAGTTCAATAACAGCCATTTTTACCAAATTTAAAATTTGCACAAGCAAATGCAATATACAACAACATTAAACTCACAGACTTGTCACTAATCACATGCCAAAAATAATCATTTGAGGTGCAGACAATTAATTTTATGAAATTAAAAAAACAACAACTACTAAGTGTTATAATGATTGAAACTCCGCTCTAATATGATTGCAACTCAACCTTCATCAGTAACACTATATTTTGATGACTGCTTATAGATCTACTAGCTAACTAAGTTTCAACATCATATTGAATGCTTTGGCTTGAGAATATGCAACATAAAAAAGAATTTTAAAAAATGACTCAAGGAAGCTTGGCAAAAAATTATGTGAAAAAATTAAGAGTCCCTCCTCTCTCTCTCTATATATATACACACTGATATAAATAGATAGAAAGATAGCTAGATAGTGATAATATCTATATAGAACTTGAAAAAGCAATAATAGCATACTATTTATGTGTTTTCATTAAAAAAAAAGCATGATTATTATAATCTTGTATTTTCCATTGCTGCGGTCATTACAGTGAATGCTCAATGAATCACTTGAAGTGTCGAGACATGTGTTGTTTAAGGTTGTACCTAGACCTAGACGAGAACGGGCAGAACTCGCACGCATGAGGCTTCAGGTCTGAGTGGGTGAGCTTATGCCGGTTAAGCCGAGACACGTTTCTGAACTTCATCCCGCACTCGGCACACAGGAAGGGCTTGAGTCCCTCGTGCTGGAGCAGGTGGTCTGTGAGGCTGGAGCGGGAACTGCACCTGTAGTTGCAGTGTTGGCAGGTGAGCGGCGTTTTGTTGGTGTGTCGCTCCATGTGGTACCTCAGCCTCTTCTGTGAGTTGCAGGTGTAGTTGCAGACGGAACACACGAGTTCGGCCTGCTCTGCGTGCATCCTCTTGTGATTGCTGAACTCCTTACTAGACCGGGAGATGTAGCTGCATAGTTCACAAAGAAAACTTTTGTGAGAGACTACATGAGCTTCTAATTCAGCCCTTTGATCACATTTGAAGTTGCATTTATCACAGGTAAATCTCAAGTGACTGTTACTTTGATCATTGCTATCATTAAATCCATTGTCAGGGTCATTGTTAGATCCAGTGGGATACTCAGCCTTGTGAGTTTTCTCATGGAGTTTTAGCCGATATTTTCTACTACACGTGTAGCTGCAAAGATCACAGGTGAAAGGTTTGCTGGTGGTGTGTGTGCGCCTGTGAGCCTTCATGTGGTCCATGCGTTTGAAAGCTTTATTACAATCCTCACACTTGTAGGGCTTGATGTCGATGTGGGTCGTCTGGTGCCTTTGAAGCATGGTTTTGGTGAGGCAGATGTAGCCACACTCCGGACAACAATGAGTTGGTTTAGAAAGGTTTTCGCTGTCACTTTTAGCGGTTGAAGCCCCACTGTCTACACTCAAATCAGTTAATTTGGCTTGTGAATTTGTTTCCCTGATTTTACAGTCTGCATCTTCACTAAGGGAAATACCGTTAAACTTACTGTTTACTTCTTTTTTGTTCAGGGAGATACTATCGAATTCATTGTTTACATCTTTTTTGTTCCTGTTTTCATCAACTGATTGTAAAGCTAGATCTATCAGCTGTGTTTTGGTTGGCACATGAATGTTACTATCCAATATGTTCTGGAAAGCTGATTTCATAGAGATGGGGCTTAGTGAATAGTTGTTGGTACAAGGAGCAACATACATGGTTGGATTCAAGTTGCCAGGAAAAACAGTTTCATTATAAAAGTACGAGTTTGTGAAATCAAAGCCACCATTTCTATCCATGTATCCAAAATTTGGATTAGGGTTACCTATGTTTATTCCAGCACTAAACGGTAAGGTAGTTTGGGTTAAAAATGCATTCGATGAATGGTAAAAGTCATGGTATGGAAGTGGTCCATTCACGACCCCTGGTAAGATAGGTCTGTCTAAATGAAAAGGTTTTATGTTTCCGTTAGTATTCTGGTGAAGAGAGCTAAATATATGTGGACTATGTTGATGCAAGGGTATGTCTCTAGGCTTAAGCTGGTCAGTTTTATTTCCACTAGGTTGTCTTTCTTGTATGCCAGGAAGAGTAGAATTATCGAGATTCTGCATAAATTGTTCAGCTACTTGGTTGTTGTTTTCCCTGAACATATCAGTGAGAAAGGTATGGATATCTGGTTGGTATGACTGTTTAAGTATTTCTGTGGTCACACCAGAATTCAGAGCAGCTTTCTCCAGAGGTTTTGTGGGTTTTCTAACCCTCCTGCGGATTTTACCTTTGTCTGTGTGCCTAAGCATGTGTTGTTTCAGATTGTACTTGGAACGTGAGGAAAACTCACAGAAGTCGCAGGCAAACGGTTTGAAGTCAGAATGAACAAGTTTGTGCCGATTAAGCCGTGATGTGTTGCGAAAAGCCATCCCGCACACTGAGCATAAACAGGGCTTGACGCCGGCGTGCTGTAACAAGTGGTCACTAAGGCTGGACCTGGAGCTGCATCTGTAGTCGCAATGTGGACAGGTGTGAGGAGTTTTATTTTCATGCCGCATCATATGGTACTTAAATCTCTTCAATGAATCACAAATGAAGTCGCACTTATCACACTTGTACAAGACTTCCTCTACACCGGAAGCGCTTACTTTTTCTTTGAGCTCTGGTTCTTGAACCGTATAAACACTGTGTTTATTTTTCATGTGATATTTTAACTCGCATACTCTTCTGCACCTGTACTCACAAAACGAGCAGGAGACAGGTTTGACTGTTTGATGGGTAAGAATGTGGAGAGTAAGGCGGTATTTTCTGTGTGTACCGTAAGAACAATGAGGACATCTGTGTGGACGTATATCAGTGTGAGTAAATTTGTGGACTTTTAAATGATCTTTTCTTTTAAATGATGCCCCGCATTGCTGGCAAATAAAAGGTTTGTAATCAGAGTGTTTTCTTAAATGTCTGCGTAGTGAATTTCTGGTGCTGCAAGAGTAGTCACAAGTTGAACAGCTAAACATTCCAGATGGATCTTTTTTATATGAGTATAAACATTCATCTATCAGCTTTTTACTTGAACTTACACTATCATCAGAATTTTCTATTTTAATATTTGTTAATATTAAGTCTTCATTACTTTCAGGGAAAATATTTTCAAAAGATTCAGATTTAGTGATAGAAGCCGTACTTGTTTTATTACCATCAAGATGCCTGAGATTATGTTTCCCCAGATGATCTTTCCTTTTGAATGCGGCGCCACACACATCACAGACGAAAGGCGAAGTTTCCGAATGTATAACCATATGTTTGGTTAAGGCCCACTTTTGCTTAAAAGATTCTTGACACTTGGCACACTGATAAGGCCGGAGATTGGAATGTGTGGTTAGGTGGTTATCCAGCGACGACTTATTATGACATCGGTACTGACATAGATGACAGGCAAAAGATGTCTCTCTGTTTTTGCTGTGTATTTTCATGTGCTTTTTTAAATACTTCAGTCTTTTTCCTGAGTAATCGCAGTGCACACAGGGGTACATGCTCTTCGGTCCGTGTGTTTCCTCGTGTTTTTTCATGTCGGATCTTCGTTTACATGTGTAGGCGCAGTGTGTGCAGGTAAATGGTTTGATGACAACATGTGTTTGCTTGTGTGCTTTCAAATTTGCTGCTGTTTTACACCTAAGATTGCACTCATCACAAGCATGAGGTTTTAAATCACCAGACTTTGTTTTCTTTGGGGTCTTGTCTTTTGTAGACGTAGCAGATTTTGGTGGACGACCTCTGGGTCGCTTGACAGGTTGCTGGACTATGACATTTTTTACGTCAAAATCAGAGAAACTCTCATCGTCGGAGGCTACTTTATAGCTGATTGTTTTCTTGCCAGATTTCAACCTAAGGCTACGTCGACTTGTGCTTAACTCACCACCAGCGACAGCATGGTTCAACTGGTCGGTCAAAGGTGAGTCAACGTTTTCCACAGGCAACATAAGAGGCGAGTTCTTTTCCGACTTGTCAAAAGCAACCTCCAGCTCACTGGCACAACCTGCAGCACTGGCATTGCAAGCGTCGTCAACAAGGAACATCTGCAGAGCTCCTGAAGATGATTCTGAAGTAAAAACAACGGGCTCCATGTTTAGCCCAGTGTGTGGTTCAAACTTGAGAGTATTTCAGAGATTTTTCCACTTAAACCTATGAGCTGATAGAAAAATATGATACAATTATTTATACACCTTTGGAGTTGACAAAATAAAAACAACTAACTTCAGTCTCATGCCTTGCTATAAAATTCACGTCACAAGCTTAACTAGAAACAGTTATGCAAGGATCTGTTCTTACAAATGTTTACAAGAAAAAATTAAAAACTGAGTTTAATGCTTAAGCAACTGTAAAATATAAGCCCTCTTTAATACAACAATTTAAACATGAGAAAATACACTATGCCTATATTATTATTATTAAATATATTTACCTTTGTTTTTTATGTCCATAATTATCCAACTAGTATATATTATAATAAACTAGGTCTATATTTCTATTGATGTTTGCCATTTTTTGCGTGGATCAAAATGGCTTAACCTGCAATGAAAAAATATGTATTTAAAATTGTATTTGATGTTTTTTAATGAGGCTTAGTGACAAACAAAATTCAATCAATGTACTATGAATATTATTCTAATGCAATACATGGGATATGTTACACATAAGTGCTATCCAAATACTTATGGCCATCCATAAACAATGTCACACTACTAAGATTTTAAGATCATTCAGTTCAGAGGGGTTTCAGACTTTTTTGTAATATGTGCATGGATGCGTTTATAACTAATGTTTTTATGTTACAGCTAAAAGAACCCTTAACCGATTTCTACTTACAATATCTAAATTTCCAATTATTTGATGTATATTTATTTGTGTAATACTAGACTAGAATAATTATAATAATCTAAGTCATTCTTACTTTAAAAAAGTAAATTAATGACTATATTGAAAATTGTGACTAATGGAGGGGTGGCGTTTGATGTGTTGGGTTTGATCATTATTGTTGACTTGACAAGGATTTTTTTTTTAGATTTAACTCAATGCAACAGCACTGCAGGTTGGTTAAGTAAGGCCACACAGGTGGAGGGGTTGTTCTGCAAACTGCAAGGGAGATGAATTACAAAGGGCAGGGTTGACTTGACTCTAAACATATCATCATCATCAGTTTCTTCTAGATCTATGTAGATCTATCATTCTTTAATCATAATAAATCTTATTCTGACATTCATTACTTAGTAGAATCTAGATCTAATAAAGTAAAAATGTAGGCCCTAATAATTTTATGATAGTAAAAGTAGTAAAAGTAAAAGTAAATTTTAAATTATTATAAAATTATCGATAAAAGGTTACTTTGGAGTAATGCTATTAGATATCTAGATCTCGATTAAATTGTTAATGCGAGGCCAGATAGTTGATTGAAATCTAGATTAGTACTAAGAAAGTATAGATATAGATCTATCTATTCAAAACTAAACAGTATTGCCTAATAATCAGACAACTTAACTCTTTATACTTTATAATTATAAATCTAGATTCTAGGCCTAGATTGAAATATGTAAAATATTGAATTGACTTACGTTTCAAGATGCTTTGCAGTCTAAGCAGTTTAAAATGTCTAAATTCATATGGAGAGGAGTGGGGGTAAATTTTTAAAATGTCAATATTCGCTATTTTAACTTTATTATTATTACAAGCTGTTGCTTAACTTGCTTCTTCTGTCGTGCTTTTGTCTGTCGTCTAGTGCCATGAATCGGAACTGACGAGCAAAATTCCGACCACTTTTAACAGACGAATTTCTCTGAAACTTGGTATGAGGGTCAAGACCCTATGTCGATGCAATCCCACATCAAAGTTGACTTACATGGACGCTCAATTAAACAAAACTCAACAACTAGGCCTACAAGTTCCATTTAAATACTTCACCATCGTTTCCCTGTTGTACTCAAGACAGATGGGGCCGCGACAGAAAGCTCTCTCCACCAGTATTTCTACAAGACTTTTTCTCCGGGGGAGGAGGAAAGCTGACTAACATTTGGGGTTGGAGGGGGTGTTATGTAGTCATCTGTGTGCTTTGTTTTGATGGTGGTGATGACTGCAGTGAGGGTTGAGGTAACAGTTTAAACTTTGATTTAATAACGCCAACACACGTACGATTTTTAAGACTTTTAATACCCGAAATAAACTAGCACAGAGTTCTGCCACGGAGCACAAGACACACACTTCCACACGATAACAAGTCTAGCATTCAACTAACTTAATTCATTCGCACGGCCCCAACTTCACCCTAAGGTAACCCAAACCCTGCCTAACCCCAGCAGTCCCGCGAGGGGCGGGCGCTTGACCTGTGCATACATTAACTCGAACTTTTTACGACTGGGACAACTACAGGCTATTCAGACTTGTATCTAGTAAGGGGACGTTCAATCAAATACACTAAGGGTTATTCCTATTACAGCTATTATGATCTATCTAATCTACAATTAAACAATATAGTAGTGTGGCCATAAATACTATTAAGATTTAAACGATATTCTATCCTAGTTTTCTATCCTATGCTAATCCCAGTTATAACAGGGGGGGGGGCTGCAATTTTCCTAGCTGTCCCCCGTGATAGTCCTGCGGCCTGCCCCTGCCAGCTGCTTCCCCGCCGTTTCCCTAGGCAATTCGTTTAAACCAGAGTTTCTTCCAGGCATCTTTTCGGGGAGGCGGAGCCCCCCCCCCCCGAAGAAAGTCTACCACCCCCGCCCACCCACCCCCTTCCCGAACAAGATGGAATTTATATAGTAAACATATACTTTTACTAGTGTCCACCCCCCCCCCGGAAAATGTTGACCGCCCCCCCCCCCCCCAAATATCAAGTGCACTCCCGGAGAAAAAAGTCTGAAAGAAACACTGGTTTAAACGTAAGCACATAATAACTCTAAAATTGGGTTTCCAGTTACTATAATACTATAAGTTATACTTATTAAAATGCAATTGTTTTAACGAGATTCGGGAAAAAGAGCAGTTAAAAAAATTCGCTGATCGAAGAAACAATAAAAGTTTAACAAAGAAACAAGTAAACAAAGGAAAAAAGTAAACAAAGATGAAAAGTGTCTCCCCCCCCCCCCTTCCCCCGAAGAGATGCCTGGAAGAAACTCTGAGGTAGATCGGTAGATCGAGAGGCGTAGCGAGGGGGGGGGGCGGGGGTGCGGACCGCACCGGGTAACACCATTTAGGGGGGTGACACCAAGGCAAAAAAATAGCAAAATATATATAGAAAAACTTGACGGGGAGGGGGTGCAAATCGAAAGTTTGAAAGTTTGTCCCCGGGAAGGGTCGCTACGCCTCTGGGGGGTGACACCATTAAGTGCCGCACCGGGTGACACCCGACCTCGCTACGCCACTGGGTAGATCTAATACTAATTGTTAGAATAATAGACTACGTTATTGTACAGATAAAAACGGTATGTCTGCAGAAATAAGCAAAAATATGCCCATGTTTTACTATGAAACTAAAATTTTAAAAATAGCTGCTGCTATTTAGAAAAACGAACAGAACAGAGCTAAATAGATAAGAATATAGATAATCAATTAACGGTATGTATTCAACAATAAATAGGCTAAACCTGCTTTACCAAGGTGGTACAAATAGAAGATTTGGAAAAAAAAAAACAGAGGATTTTTACTCGCTTCTAAGCACAGTTTTAATCATTTTTAAAAGGAATCGAACGTTTATAATGTGCATGAGTGATCGCTTCTTTTTTCTAACCGTGCAGTTTTCCATCAGCGTTTCTTCCACTTTTTTCTCCGTGTGGGGGGGGGGGGGGGGGAGTCGGACAACATTTTCCGTGGGGGGGGGGGGAGCGGACACTGGAAAAAGTAAAAGTTTTCCATATAAATTCCATTTCGTTCAGGCGGGCAGTAGACTTTCTTCGGGGAAGTGGGACTCCGCCCCCCCCCCCCCCACCCGAAAAGATGCGTGGAAGAAACTCTGGTTTCCATTACTAAACCAAAATAAAATTCCAACGTTAAAAAATCCTATAAGGGACATAACTACAGATAAAACACATTGGTACAATTTATTTAGTTTTTCCCCTTTAATTTCTTCTAAATATTTAATACGAGCTGACCCACGACGTAGCATACGCCGCTATCTAGTTGTTTTGTTTTCTACTTATCAACAATTCATAATTTGTGAATTCGACATGGGTAAGAAAAATTATCGTTTTTGAACTACACACCGACTCATTGGATGAAAGGCTAGGATATCCTTTAAATTTAAGAACATACTATTTCTAATCTATATATATATAATTCTCTTCTGGGAGACGCTAGAAAACAAGCTGTAAATGCGCTCCCTACCACCCCCACCCCACATGGTCTGGTGAGTTGTGATTCACTCTAAATGTTTACAAACAGAGCCGGGTTTAGTGACGACTATTAGGGGCAGATAATTTAGTTTGAAACGATTTTAAACGTAAAGGGGGGGGGGGGTAACTAAGTGAAGTTTACTTTAACGGAGGGGGGGGGGGGGGTTCGTCCTTAACGAGCTACTGATAGTGTTTTAAAGAAATATTTTCAGTGGCAGCGTTGGTAGTGTTGAATTCACAAATTATGAATAACTGAAAAGTAGAAAAAACAACTAAATAGCTGCGTATGATATGCCGCGGGTCGGCTCGTACTAGATAAAATAATATAAAAATAAGGCCTGCCGATCAAGAGCCACAAATTTAACAATGTTGGCTAAGGGGTCGTCCATAAACGACGTCACACTTGTAGGGGGAGGGGGGGATGAGGGGGGGGGGGGTCAGATGGTGTGACGTCACACTTTTGCAATGTTAGAAAACAATGGTAGAAAACGAATTTTATCCGTCATTTCGCGTTTTAGAAAACTGTTATAATACATTATAATATGAATTGATTAAAATACTCTATTTTGACAGAGTTCAGATACGATTTTGGAAAAATATCGATGTTTTAAGAATAATTCAACTGCAATTTTGAAGGGCGTTGTAAGCTGAAGTATGACGACATTTTAAGAGGGGGGGGGGGGCCGGCTTTGTGACGATATTTGACGGAGGGGAGGGGGAGGTAAAAATCGTCCAAAAAAGCGTGACGTCATTTATGGATGACCCCCAAGCTGAATATGAAGAGTATTGATGAAGGGGTCCTATTAAGGTCATTTCGCCGGGAGGCATGGTCTCTACGGGAACCGTATTAACCGGGCTCCTTTTGTGAGGATAAAAATGACGGGAACCTATTTGTCGGGAGTCGAAATAACGGCCAAAATGACGTGAGTCAGTGTTTATTCCAGCCTTTTTTTCTCCGGGGGGGGGGGGGGGCACTTGATATTTTCGGGGGAGGGGGGTGGACAACATTTTCCGGAGGGGGGGGGCAGACACAGGTAAATGTATATGTTTTCTATATAAATTCCATTTCGTTCGGGGGGGGGGCGCAGAGGCGTAGCGACCCTTTCCGGCGCCGGGGACAAACTTTTCGATTTGCACCCCCCTCGACCTTTCAATTTATTTTTCCAACCCATTTTGGCGCCCCCTAAGGTCGGCGCCCGGGAACACATGTCCCCCCCCCTCGCTACGCTACTGGGGGGGCGGACTCTGACGGGAGTCTGTTAGGAGCCTATTAGTTAGGAGTCGCAATAACGAGAGCCGTTTTGTCGGGAGCCTACATGAAGGGAGCCTATTTTTTCGAGAGCCTATATGACAGGGTTCATTTGCTGCTGGCCTTTTATTTTGGTGAGGCTCTTTTGTCTGGGCCGTTTTGTCACTGGCCGTTTTGACGCCGAACGGTTTTGATCTGTGCTGTTGAAATACGTTCAACAAGTTGTCAAATAATAATTGAAAAATGTAAAAACAAAAAAAAATGAGTTTAAAAAGTTTCTTTTTCGCATTCGGCGGTCCATGGAGCAGATGAAGTGGAGTTGACCTGTTTCTTTATAACACGCTGCCGTAAACTGCTGCTCTCAATAATTAGTTTACAATCACTTCAAACCTTTTTCATTCAACTTCAAATAAAATGCAATATTTTCGATTCCCTTAAAATGATTTAGATCTATATATTATTTATTTTGGCCCCTGGCAGAGGCGTAGCGACCCTTCCCGGCGCCCGGGGACAAACTTTTCGATTAGCACCCCCCCCCCCAAGACTTCGATCTGCACCACCCCCCCTCAAACTTTCGATTTGCACCCCCCTCAAGATTTCGATTTGCACCCCCCCCCCCCCCTCAAACTTTCAATTTGCACCCCCTCAAAACCTTTCACTTGTTTTCCCAACCCATTTTGGCGCCCCCTAAGGTTGGCGCCCGGGGACATATGTCGTCGTCCCCCCCCCCGCTATGCTACTGGCCCCTGGCTGAAAATCTTTTTAGGAGCCACTGCAACTACTAGAGCACTATCACCAGTGCAGTTAATATGGGTAGATTAATAACGGCGGTACATCGGCGTAGGCAGAGGAGTGTTCTGAATAAAGTGCTTCAATTTGAAATAAGAATTCTAATAATATAAATACTAATAATACCACTAATTAAGCTACCAAAATAGAACCAAGGACGTCAACATGGGTATCTTATCGTAACTCTTTTTGACATATTAATACTCTAACACAGGTACTGTTTTTTTTTTTAGGCCTGGCTTAACAAAAGGGGTTTAAAATAATGTTTATTAAGAACCTTTCGCTCAGAGTTTACTTTTTAAAAAAATGTTAACATGTATTTCAAAAGTAATATTTTGAGGGAAATGTATAAAACTTTTTAACATTGACTAATCCAAAGTGTGTGTGCATAGACTATAGATCTAGACGTTTTCTGTTCTATCGCAGGGGAAATTTTCCTCGGTTCGCGTGTGCTATTTTAGCTTTGCTTCTACTGAGCATGCGCACTTTGTTCAGCAGTAACAAAAATTTCCTCAGGTCTGGTAGAAATATTTCAGCATTCTTCCCTTCTGTTTAGCAGTGGTTTGGAAGCTTTGTGTTGTGCCTGAGAATGGGATGAACCTGTGTAAAAATAACGTGTAGAACTATTATTACAATTAAAAAAAACTTTTTGTTAATGAATTAAATACCTTTTCAAAGCAAAGGTGGTTTATTTATAGATATTGTTTTCACACGCAATGCTCATTGAGGCTCATTCATACTTGACCCAGTAGTGATAGGTTTGTTTATTTCCAGAGTGTGTACTACTGAACTGAGGTCTAGCAGCTTCTACTACGCTAACTAACTAGTTACGTGTGTGCATATGATAAGGCAGGCCTTAGGCTACCGTCTTTTATTTTTAAACAGTGTAGTACACTGAGTGTACGTATAGAGTATAGAATGTTCATAATCATGCACATTGCATTACTTTAACTTGGTACTTAGATCTAAGTACTTAAACTCTTAGTACTATTCATAATTTTTATTAATTTAAATTAAACAGTTTCGGAAGTTGTGTGGGCCTTTTTATTAAAATTTTAAATAAAGTATAGGCCTAAGGCCTAAATAAATAGGCCTAGATCTAATATCAGCTAATATCTACTATCTAGATCTAGAGTCTAGAATTAAAACTGAAAACATTAGTGAATGATTAGTGCCTAAATAAAATATTAACATTAACAGAGCATACAAAACTTACAAATACTTAACTTACTTTGTACTTAGTCTAGTACTTAGCATAGACCAAAGGCATAAGTACTAATAAGTAGGGCATAGTGCCACAGTATACCTAAATTCTTAAATCATAAAATATTTATCAAGAAATCTTAGGCCAGGCATAGATTATGATAGATTTAGATTTTTAGAATCTATTAATATTAGGAATATTCGGCCTATAAATTTTAGACTAAAAAATAACAACTAACCAGTTGGTGACTTAACTAGGCTCTAGTCTACGCCAACTTAACACAAAGTACCTTAAGCCTTAAGAGAATTTGTTATTGTAATTTTGTCTAAGTACCTTAAGAGAATTAGACAAAATTACAATAACACTACTATTTAGCCTATTGCAAATAGTAACTGTACTAAGTAACTAGGTTTAAGGAACATATATTTTTAACTGTAGGCCTATTGTTTATATAATTAGCCTATTATTCTTATTATTGCAGTCATGTTTATGAAGAAGCTCATTTCCGTTATATTTTACATGATACAAAGATTAAGTTAGCATCATTATTAGTGACGAGGTTTTACATTGTTTATAACTATTAACTAGGTCTGAACCTTTAATTTTTAATAAAAACAAACATAGCCAATTTGGAGTTGATAATGTTTCGAATCCAAACAATAGATTCTGTAAGCAATTTTATTTATTTTGAATGTATCAGGACTGAAAAGTATAGAAATTTGTATATGCTGAGCTGGGTTGCTAGGTTTTGGTTTTGTGTAATATCTATGGGTATATAATTCTGTCAAAAATTCATTTTAGTTACATTTATATAACACCCCTATCCTCAGATAAAATAACAAAAATAAAAATGTTTGCAGCATCTAAAAAAATATTTTTTGGAAGAATTCATTTTATAGTGTAAATGAAATTTAAACATTAATTTAAAAAAAAAAACCTTTTTATCGCAGATAATTTTTATAAACTTTCTATTTATTTTTTTTGTAATGATGACAATTTAATGAGCTTTAGATTTCAACTTTTATTGTGATCTTATCTGTCGACTAAATCAGCTCAGAGGCGTAGCGACCCTTCCATGCGCCCGGGGACATACTTTCAATTTGGTGTGTTTTTAAAATAAGCTAGTTGATCTACTGATGTTGGCTTGGCAAGTAGCTTAATATAAATTTGTATGTAGCTTATTTTACTACTCTGTTAAAAAAGCTACCTAAACTTGTTTTAAATTGCAATTACTAGTTATTTGCTTATACACATAAATATTAGATCTATATAGCGGATGGTTAAAACAGTTGTCATTGTTTCTCCAGGATTAAAACTAGCTATGTAGCTGGGAATTTATTTCAATGTTATCATCAGGCATTTGGTATAGTTGTAAGTTTGATTATGCTGCTTCAATCAATGATTAAACTAATTATGTAGCTGTGAGCATATTTCAATTGGATCATCAGGCGTTTGGTATAGCTATAAGCTTGATTATGCTGCTTCAATCAATGATTAAACTAATTATGTAACTGTGAACATATTTCAATTGGAACATCAGGCGTTTGGTATAGTTGTTAGCTTGATTATGCTGCTTCAATCAATGATTAAACTAATTATGTAGCTGTGAACATATTTCAATTGGATCGTCAGGCATTTGATATAGTTGTTAGCTTGATTATGCTGCTTCAAAGACTGCCTGGATCTTTTTGTGGATTACACCTGCGCCAGTTGGGAGCAGTCATGATTTTTATGCTGTGTTCATTGACTCTGTACAGATGGTTGGATAATTTGAACAGCAAAGTGGCTCTCTTGGAGTTTGCCTGGGTCAAGTTAGGTGAGTGAGCTTTTAAAATGTGTATGGTACAGTTAGGGGCATGTAAGTATGGTACAGTTTGGTAGACATGCAGGTGTGTTATAGTTTGGTAGACATGCAAGTTGGTACAGTTTGGTAGACATACAAGTGATGTACAGTTGGGTAGACATGCAAGTATGGTACAGTTGGGTAGGTATGTAAGTGTGGTACAGTTTGGTAGACATGCAAGTTGGTACAGTTGGGTAGGTATGTAAGTGTGGTACAGTTTGGTAGACATGCAAGTTGGTACAGTTGGGTAGACATGCAAGTTGGTACAGTTGGGTAGACATGCAAGTTGGTACAGTTGGGTAGACATGCAAGTTGGTACAGTTTGGTAGACATGCAAGCTGGTACAGTTTGGTAGATGTGCAAGTGTGGTACAGTTGGGTAGACATGCATATGTGTGGTATAGTTAGGCAGATAAGCAAGAATGGTACAGTTAGATATGCATATGTGTGGTACAGTTTGGTAGACATACAAGTGTGGTACAGTTTGGTTATCATGTTAGTGTGGTACAGTTGGGTAAGCATGCAAGTGTGGTACAGTTGGGTAGACATGCAAGTGTGGTACAGTTTAGTAAACATGCAAGTTGGTACAGTTTGGTTATCATGTTAGTGTGGTACAGTTAGATATGCATGTATGTGTGGTTAAGTTAGGGACAAGATGTTTTAGTGTGGTACAGTTTGGTAGAATTGAAAATGTTGTACAGTTAGATATGCACGTAAGGGTGGCACAGTTGGGTACACATGCAAGTGTTGTATCGTTTAGAAATAATGCGAGTGTGGTACAGTTAGGTAGACACATAGAAGTTTTAAAAGAGATTATATTCTTTTAATTGGATTTTATTGGCAAATGAAGGAGCATGCTATTGCTCAATGTTATGTTTTTGAATTCTTTGCCTTGAATCAACACATTGTTTACAGTGAATTGTGAATGGCTGATAGAAATCATTAGTTTTTCTTTCCTTTTGGGGATAACTCTACAAAATACGATCATAATATTAAAAAGGGAAATGACTTAGGCACCGTTAGCGTCTTCAGAGCTGTATCAAGCTTATAGTTTGCTACATCTTCACCCTGACCATTAACATAATCTTAATTACATTATTCACGCTACGATTCAACTCTTTAGTTTCATGGAGACATATTTTCCACTATTTTATCAACAAATATGTGTGGAACTGTACTCTAGATTACGCTTCCATGTATTTATTTATTTGAAACAAAAACATGCGCCGCCCAAGGCGGACCACCCCTCTTTTACCTAGCTACGCCTTTGCCTTTAATCTGTTACGAGCGGGGCGACGATTTCCTTTTCTAGCATTTATACGGACTTGCGCAGTGCCACCGAGTAACCTAACCTTTGACATTCACGAGCACAAAAAACTCCCACAAACAAAAGCGGGCGCCCTCGTATGCCAATCGCCGAGGAACAACAATCATTCGTTTAAACACCAGCTCCCGCTGTTGTCGCCCTTTAATACTAGACCTATACGAGCTTTTTTTAATAGGTAGACAAAAAATATAATATTAATTCATTACATTAAATATTCTGGTTTTTTAAACATAGCAAATAACAAATATATATCTTTCTTCTTTTTCTTGGTTCTTAATTTTAGTGTTGGAAGGTATTCCCTCCAATGCAATTAAGTATACGTGTCAACTGGTTATGCGACAATGAGGCCATTGATTCCGATTTCAGCCTGCTTTTCTTTTTGGATTTGCTTCAAAATCCTTTGTCCAACCAAGAACAAACTACAAGGCAGCAGTTGTTTGATTTTGGAGTTGTCTCTCCTAGAAGAGTGGCTGTCCCCAGCTAACGAGCCTCATCTGCCCGAGCCAATATTTTATAACTTAGCGTTCATTGTCATTATATAATTTTTGTACTTAAGTTCTGTTTTATGTTTTGTGTATTTGATTGTTTAAACGTATTTCCATACGGTAGAACTTGTGTAAAGGGTTTCCTCTACCAGGGATAGCCCACTCAAGTTCTAGGCCCAGCCGCCTTTACTTTGTCTAACGTGAGACTTTCGGGTTTGTAATACGCTCCATCTCTCAACCGATTATTGTGTTTAATTAAGTAAAGTTAAGTTCCCTTTTCGAACCTGACAGTCCACCGGGCAAGTGAAGTAAGAGTTTGCTTGTTTCTGTGACCTCGGCATATGAAGGAATAGAGTCGCCGGCACTATGCACAGCCGCAGTTAATTTCACTAACGTGAGTCAGGTACCCATCAGAGCTGGGTGGGCTCAGCAGCGACGTTCTACGGACTTGAACACGGACTTGAACCCCGATTCAAATCTTGACTACCACTAGGCCACGCCTATCCCATATTTTTTATTAAGTGAAGCTACGTAATTAATGAAATTATCTTCTTTAAGGTTAATAATAAAAAATGTTATTCTCACATCCAAATAGTCCCAAAATGGTCGACACTTAAACAAACCACACACGTTTTGGTATTTTACTGTACAATAGTACACTTGTCCAAACCTTCGGGTCCCATTCGGCTGATTCTGTCTTCATTAAGTATAATTACGTATAATTTCGACAAATTAGATCATATTTAATTACCTTTAATCCATTCCAACATGGCTATCTAATGTCAATTTTTTTTAAAATCCATCATAATAATGATAATGTTCTGAGATTTATAATTCCACGAGAGCGACCTTACAGAAATCAATTACAAAGTAAAATATATGTGTGCTATCAAATAGTTCACAATGCGTTTTGTTCAGACTTACACGGTACCCGAAGTAAATGGATTTAGGCCAAAATTTAGACTAACAAAATATAACCGATTCATATAGATTGCGCCGTACCAAGGAAACGTAGTGTAGCACTTACCAAGTTAAAAAGAAAATGGCGACTTTTTTGTCCCTAATGAAAGGCCTTGAGTTTAACAATAGCCGCCCGGAACGCAAAAACGTACCAAGAATTGATAACAATCATCTTAAGTAAAGAAATAAATCGTAATTCTAATGCACTGTCACAGATCTTGATGTTTCGGGGATGATGGTACATGATAGAAAAAAAAAACCCAGCTACAAACATAGATCTATATCGATTCATGCAAAACACAAATATACGTTCTATCTTACAAATAATTTGTGGCTACATAATATTGTTTAAATTATCACCCAAGCATTTGAATTAGAAGTATAGCAAGCAGATATAAGAATTAAACCAATCAAATGCGGTGTTTTAAAACATACTGCCAATAGGGTATAATTATTCTTTTATCTTATCCCGCTACCCCTCTTCCTGTTATAGTTATATCCTGTGTGTACACGATTCGTTATAATGCGGTTATAAAAAAAAAGCCCCAAAAAAGCTTAGAAATGTTTACAAATATAAATAGGTAAAACTTCCGTGATAAAAAACAAGTAATTAAAAAAAGTCTAGTGACAATTTTAGCGCAATTTCCTTGTGTTATCTAAAAATAGCTCTGTCGTAGCGTAAATCAAGAGCAGGGTTAGTAAAACCATTGGTTAGTTATTAAAACATTTTTTATTAATTTTTTTTTCAGTATTTTACATGTTTTATTTACAATAGAGTAACATGACTAAAAACCATTGCGCGCCCAGCTACCGAACGTGACGTCGCAGCCATTGAACGTGATGGCGCAGCTATTGAACGTGATGACGCGTGTGGTGTGGTTGCATAAAATGCCTACTAATTCGGTCCAAATTTTAATTAATTCAAAAAAAATTTTGTGACCGAACGAAAGGATATTTTTGAAAACTTTCTTCGGCAATATTGTTCTAAATTATGGCAGGAATCGATTGGTACATATTTTTTAAGTCGCTAAGTGGTCTGCTTGCCGAGATATGGGCCAAAAACTGCTTTTTTTCGAGGTTTTTTGGCTTTTCCGGGAAATCCATGAAAGAAACCCGTAATTTTTATGGCCTATGTTCATCCTCGTAACTTGCTTAACATAATTGCTTTTGGAACTAGTCATCGATATTGCTTCGTTGAGGAGGAGATACGACTTAAAGCTGCGGACACACATCCATCCATCCATCCATCCATCCATTCATTCATACATCCAGAAATGACGGGTTAATAAACGCAATTCTCCAGAATGGAAATTGCGCTAAAAATTGGGGTCTTTTTCTTTTCTTTACACTAGAGTACCAATATTGTGTTTTTCGACAAGTAAACAGTTGAAAATCTGTGACTTGATATAAAAATAGTCTTTCTTTCTTTTCTTTACGGCAAGATTGTTGACTTTTCCGACTAGTAAAATCAGTTTATAATTAGTATTGATTAGTATTGTCAGGGAGTTCCACTGGTCGGCGTTTGATTGTGTTACACTAAACTATTGATCAAGCTGGACAGACAACGTTGAAATATTAATTCTAATGCTCCGTAACTTAAGCCCACATCAACATGCCACGCCCCCACGCCCACCAAACCCCTAAATCATGGGCACGCAATATTTTGGGGTTGAAAGCAATTGTTAATGTATTTCTTTTAAAACTACTCCCTGGTGTACTGGGCTGCACTGGTTGTCCAAGCGACCCCTTCCCGACATGCATTTATATTGTGCCTTTTTTTTCTTCATCCAAGCCTAAGAACAGATGTAAAATAACTGTTCAAATATAACAACTGGGGTTTGTTCTGTGTGATAAAATGTTTTATTTTTAGTTTGTACTAGAAAGAAAACGAGTTGTGGAAAAAGCTGTAAAATTAATTTCAATGTTTGAGATTGGGTTACACGTTGAGAATTACCACATTGGATATGTTTGATTTTTTTAAATCTGAGGTTCTTCTAAGTGGAAGCTTCACTATCACATCGATGTGGCTCTTTTTATTAATCAAATGCGCTTTTAAAATGAATAAATAAAGTTTTCTTTACGAAACCGACGGTCCATGGGACAAGTGGAGTTCACTTGTTTCTGTGACCTCGGCATAAGAAGGAGTAGTGTGGTCAGCATTATGCCCAACCGCGTTCAGAGTTTCTTCCAGCCCCCCCGAAA